AATAGATACCTACTTAACTTATGTGCGAGTGTCCCTCCTTGCCGTAGTTTACAGTTTGTTCATGGATGTGTCGTAAAAATAAAGATATCTAAAGTTCTTGGGTGTGACCGCATTAGTCTAGCCTTAGGAACCTTAAGTCATCTTAATTTAAATTTCTTGCATCTAAACGATGTTATGACGATATTTAGTTTTATTTACTTACTGTAACAATTGCTGTACTTCTCAATTACAGTGAGTAAATAATCAACACTGTATGTCAGAATTTGAGGTAGCAAAGAAATTATATACCATTTATAGACTTTTAAAAAATTGTGCACCTTAATTCTTCATATTTTTATTGCTTTTATATTCGTAATTTAATGACAAAATAGTGGGTAGGACAAAGTATTTTTTTAAAACACTGGCTACAATTTATCCGACTATCAATCAAATTCCGTCTCGTTTCTTGTTGTGACACAAAGATAATACGTTACGCACTTCCCCTGCGTTAAGACATTTTTATTTTGTTGTCAAGACTAATTTTCTGGGAAAGTATATAGTAAAAAAACCTATTTACAATACGTGCACCGATAAGTTTTACAACAAATGCGATAAAATTAATACGAATTACTAACCGAAATAAATTTATTATAATAATAGGACGCTTTGCTGCTGTTACGCTTGGCCCAGCAATCATTTACAATAAATCAAACTGTGTGAACTCCCGCCAATTTGTGAAATTCGGTTTAATAGGAACCGAAGAAATCGCATCAGTCAGTCGCGACTGCAGCTTGTGTATATATCTATCTAATGGCACCCAGACATTCGTATAGAACAACCCGTCTACCACCCCACCCTCTGATATATCTACCACGAAATAAATAAAGTAGACGTATACTAAACTGTTACTAATAATTACATTATAAATAAATTATCAATTACATGTAGGTAACAATATACAACAAATTAAATATAACTAAAATTGAATTGTGATTCTGAAAAAAAAAATAAAAACTCACTTTTTTAGGCCCGCTCTGAACGATGTTCTCGTATTCCAAACCTTCCACAGACATTTTTCCACAATATTTTTTTTTATAAGTATTTAAAAACACAGAGAATATGCACTACAAAAATTATTATCAATTTTTGGTATTCACACGTTGAGTTTTAATTATAATTTAGGTTCAGTATTTTTATATTATTGACACGACTTATAAATCACTGACTTCAAAATTATCGGCTTGACCAATAAAGGAGTATAAATGAAATTGTACGCCGCCGACCGGCTCGAGTGCTACAACTAATATCATACACTCGCAGCCTCCCTCGCCGCGCTCTCTAGTCTACCGTCCCGTACGTAGCGTACATAGGTATAGAAAGCAGTAGGTAGGTATCTAAAGCTATAGTATCATCCGCATAAATATAGTAGGTATAAGTATGTATACATCATTCAGCTCGACCGGGCAGGGCCCGCTTATGTGCGGCCTGTAGATGACGAATATGAGTGTTCGAATATTTTTCTCTTTGCAAGTCGCCTTTACCCGTTTTCCTCTAGCGCGGGGTCGGCGGGTTATGTAGAACTTTCCCTGCGGACCTACCTTAGGATAGAGTTTGTCATGGGTATTTCCTCGAAAATTGAACTTCCACTTTGATACATCCGCCATTATTGTACTTCAAAAATAGTTTAATCCGATTTATCCTTTTAAATCGGTGACGTCAGTTTGCTACGATATAAGATTCTATAAAAATTTAAAATTAAAAAAATATCAGTCTAGATTCAATATTTTTAAAGAACAATAATAGCAGATGTATCAAAGCGGAAGTTCGATTTCCGAGGAAACACCTCATGATTCAAGCGAACAATGGTATACCTATTCGGTGATAGTGTCCTTAAAAATAAACTAGTATATAGATGGTTTTTGTTAATTTTTAATGTGACGCTGAAGTGACAAAAGACTTAACCTAAAAAACACCATAATCTGTATTCTCGAAGTTTCCATATTTATTCTAAGTTAAATATAATCTAAGACGTCGAACCTTCTTCGTACGCCTAAATTTTAAAATCACAAATCTAAGAAATATCAGATAAGGCTTTATATAATAAACCTTTGCTTTTAAAAGCAAACAATGACATATGAAAGTTGCCAACACAAACTACATACCTATATCTAAAGGTGGCATTCCATACCAAATAAAATATTATTATTTTTCATTGTGTCCTATAAAAATTTAGAAGTGTTTTATCTCTATATTCAAATGATTTGTGTTTGTAAATGTGTCTAATACGTAAATACTTACATAAGTTAATATTATAACCATTATAGTTATAATATTAACTTATTTATTTGTTGAATTATATAATAATACGATTGTTATTCAAATAAATAAGTATAAAAATTGATATTTTTATTTTATGCTTTTGAGCTGTTTATTTCGGACATAGCCATAAAAAGATAGCAAACTAACAACACTGGATGGATAAGTCATTCTGTTTAAAGATGTGCGAATAAGGAAGTATTTAAAAAAAAAAACATTAGTTCTTGAAATCAAACTAGATATCACTAGCGACTATCGGATAATGAGGAAGTATTTAAAAAAAATAAAGAACTACAAAAATTTATGTCACTAGATGGCAGCACAAATTGTTGGATCTAAACATAGAGCTTTCTCTGTCTACGGGTCTAAATGTTCATTCGAAATTTCTTTCTGACGTAATAAAAGTAAATTCAGTATCGAAAATTAATAAATATGACATAATTTCGTGTTTCTTATAATAGTTAACTTTCAAATTAATTTTAATTTGTTTGTATCGTAAGTTTAAGTTATTTATTATGTTACGTATAAAGGAACGATGTTTGTTTATATGACAACGTTAGTGATGAGCCATTTTATTGGTTGATCGTAACCGCAATTGATTCGATTCGTCCGAATTCAGGTTTGGAATGAAGACCAAAAAACGGAGCGCAGAATTCAGCTTTTTTTTATGTGAAGTATTTCCATATGTGCCATTGTGCATCCAAAAGTCGAATAATATTAATATAAAAATTAATGCAGTCTATGCTGTTACACTATGTAACACTTTGTAATTGTGAAAGTCGAAAACTATGCCAACGGTTCGCAAAATTACGGCAGAAGACCTTATACTGAGAAGAACCAGCAAGAAACTCAGGCAAATAAGTCTTATTGGAAGATGACTTAATTAGATTATGAAGTCACTGCCCGTTACAATATCAGAAACAACAAGACTCATATTTTTTGTTTATCATTGACAAATTAATATAAAAGAGAATGGACAAAATTAAGTAGCCCAGTGCAGGCTCATCTCCACTAGCAGCATCCGTTGATAAGCTTGACGCATGAGCCAGCCATCGCTTCGTCAACTATATTACAGGGAACGTAACGACCTGACACACACGAAACCACCGCTAGAGATTTTTAAGAGAGTGTAACTACAATAGGTACTTAATAAGTAATATATTTCAATAAAACTGATTTGTAGGCTAGGTTCAGTAGGACGTCAATCTATCATTGACAATATTATTATAAAAACCAAAAAGCAAATACCTTTGCCTGTACATTGATGAGAATACACTCTGTATAAGCGAAAAAGTAACAAGTCCTTGAAATATTCGTCAGTCCTGGGTAGCTCAGTGGTTAGAGCAGTCGAATTGTAAAAGGTAATGGGTTCGAATCCAATCTCAGGGTGCCAGGTACAAAATGGCTTTTTTAAGCATTTTTGTTTAAATACATATATCATTTTACAACGATATAATTAACCATAACTTTTAAGTCTGAACAATATTGTATGTATTGCTATGCTATTTAAGTAATTTATATGTAATTTATAATATATAATTTGTATGTGTTATATGTTTTGTTAATACATGTCGGTATTTTTTTGAATCCTGCAAAGGGATTAAAAAAAATACTGGCAAAAACAGCCGGGATTAAATCGGCTAAATCTCAAATTGAAGGTCATTCACAAAAACTGTGAAGAGCTAGCTGAAGAGCTCTTGAAGCTAAACAGAGCAAATTAAACAGACACCTTTTTAACATAAAACTAAGTGACACTGACATTTGCTGATATTGCAAATATGAACGTGAAACACTAAAACATCTCCTGTGTGAATGTGGACCATTGATCCACAAAGGAATATACATCTGGGACAACATATAATCAGCCGAGAAGATATAAAATCTCTAAAAGCCAGGAATATTATAGACTTTTTGAAGTCAAGCCAGGAATATTATAGACTAAATGAGTTACTATAGCTCTGGCAGCGAGTCACAATAGATCTTCAAGGTCGCAGTGACTACAGTTCCTCAGGGAACTGCATAGCCCCTTACAACAATAAATAATAATAATACATATCGGGTCACGTAAGAATAAATTTCTGGGGTGTTGACACTGGCGTAAAAATTACGTGGATAGAGGCAATAACCGTTGACCTAAAAGAACTCTCATTGGCAATAACGGTGAGTTCTCTACATACATGCTTACCATGCGGTATTCGGGCAGACTACATACAATCCATAAAAAGATCGCTTTAGCTACATAATGAGATGAAATAAGATTAAATTATATAAATATTGGTATCATCGTTTTATTCGATATTTAAGTTAAATTCTTTCTAATCTAATTGGGTTGGTTCACCCACACATCACTAATACTATTATTGGATTTGACGTTTCATGTGGAGTTAATTACTTTTTTTGTTGTAGTTTTTGTCTGTAGCAAACAAGTATTTTAAATCGCAAAACTATCTATGAAAATTCTAATCATCTCTTCTGTATATATACCAAAAATATTGTAAGTTAAAGTATCGTGTAACCGCTACTACTGGGGTTATATTTGTACTTACTACTCGCACGAATTAAGATGACACACGACGGCATTTCTATTTCTCTGGAAACAAAATATCATTTTCCTAAATTATACGACGCCAAAGAAACGTAATTAATAAATAAGGTAGGACACAGCCTCTGGTGCACCGACAATCTTCATGGATATGATTTAACAAAATTATGAATGATTTAAAATTTTCCGAAATTTCGTTCAACTACAAATGGATAGACAGGGCTTCAGGTGTCATGTTAATTCGTACGAGTAGCAGGTTAGAAACTTCGCATTTATTTTACATTTGCAGTTAATATGGACGAAGAATATAAAATCTTAAAACAAGGTGCAGAGGCAAAACTTTACATGTGTAATTATCTTGGAAAGCCCACATTGATAAAAGAAAGGTTTAAAAAGAATTATCGCCATTCAGATTTAGATACATCTATTACAAAGGAGAGAATAAAAAATGAGGCACGTTCTATAGTGCGCTGTAAAACAGCTGGTGTAAAAACTCCTTGCTTATATTTGGTTGACTTTGAGAGAAGGCGTATCTACATGCAACATTTTGAAGAAAGCATAACAGTGAAAGACTTTATAATAAATGTAGTTAGTAAAAATCAAATAAATAGTTCTGGAGAAACAGATTCTATAAAAGTATTAGATGTTGTTGCAAAAATGATTGGAGAAGCAGTTAGGAAGATGCATGAGAACAATATAATACATGGGGATTTAACTTCATCAAACATGTTACTGGTCCCAAAGTCTCCTACAGGGGCAATAGATGACTCAAAATGGTTGGATATAGATAATTTAGAATTAGTAATGATAGATTTTGGATTGTCATTTATTGATAGTAGTACTGAAGATAAAGGTGTTGATTTGTATGTATTAGAGAGAGCTTTGATTAGTACACATAATGATTTTCCTGATTTGTTCAGCAAAATTCTAGAATCATATAGAAACTTCAGTAAAAACAATGTAAAAGAAGTATTGTGTAAATTTGAAGAAGTTCGAGCAAGAGGACGCAAGAGAACTATGGTGGGATAGAGGTTTATTTTAATTGCTTATAGTTTACTTATTTTTCTAATTAAACTTCAGTACGGTAAAATCTGCAGAACTGCCTTGTTTCTCACATAACCCCAAACAGTCACAATGTTATTTGCAAATCTTGTTGGTTGCATAGTTAAATGATGTTAATTTGTTGCATGTCTAAATAATGGTATTTTATTCTTGTTCTGTAATCCTTTAGATTACAGAAAAAAGGAAAAAATATTATATCTGATCATATATAATGTAATATTATTCTAAATATGATATTATTCTAGTTATTCAAGCTCAAAGACCAGACTTAATAAATTGACATTTGGTATGATGTAGAGGTTGAAATAACTGCTTAAAATTTTTAAGCATTGTTACGTTGTACGATTTTTTTAACTGACGTTTGGAAATCGTTATATTAAGCGTGCAACATTATATTATTGCTACATAGTATAAAACAAAGTCGCTTTCTCTGTCCCTATATTCCTATGTATATTTAAATCTTTAAAACTACGCAATGGATTTTGATGTGGTTTATTTTTCATAAATAGGGTGATTCAAAAGAAAGGTTTTTATGTATAATACAAGATCACAATACTATTACCGTTTCTCGACATTTTATTTACACAATCTTAAAACTAATGCAGTTTAATTATATTTATAATGTTTTAAATACACACCATCACCTCATAACAAAATCTAGTTACATTGTTTATTTAGGAATAAACAAAAGTCATTGCTGCTACTTAAGTAGCAGTTTATTTACGCATACAATGAGGGAAGTACCTATTTAAAAAAGTAAAGAAATTACAAAAAAATATGTCATTAGATGGCAGCACAAATTGTTGGATCTAAACGTCAATTCATGACGTTAAACCAAAGAGAATAGAATAGTCAGTGTTGTTATGGATCTGATAACTCTGATGAATATCGTGTTGAAATTTAATTAGTTCGAGTTACGCAAACGCAACTCGATAAATACAAAGTGATCTTTGAATAATTTTTTTTTTATTTGTATAGAGGAAAATGGAAATTAACATAATGGAAGTGAGCACAGAGCTATTAGATTTATGGAAATCCATTGAATTAATGCTGTGATATAATTAAAAGTGGAATTTAGCTACGGTATACAGTAATATTACCGTCAAATAGTTTTCACAAATAAAATACTTATGCCATAGTAGGTCTTGGAATTTTTCATTATCTCATCTTAATAAACATTCAGCAATCAACAAGAAACGACTGTCTGTTCGAAAGTAACAGCAAGGTTATAACTTTAAATTTCAAAATCACAAAGACACGTACTGTTATTATACGATTGCTACTGATTTTACAAGTCGAGCCATGTGTATAGTTAATTCGTACGGTGGGTATGTGCTTTTTGGTTCTTACAATAATATTGTCAATAATAGAAATTGATGTTTTGGCGTACTGGCCACTTTAATTACAAATTTCTCCTCCTTGGTTGGCAATTCCAAATTCAAATTCGTACAGCCATTTACGCATGTATTTGTGTTTCATTAGGCGGCATTCATTTTTTTTTTTTCTTCTGTTTGTTCTTTTTACGTCACCCAGTATAAAAAATGAAAAACTTGAAATATCGTGTCATTTACGAGTACGAGTTCCACCGTGGTACCAGTGCTGCGGAAACGTCTCGAAGGGTTTATGACGTGTATGGCGGTTGTGTCGCTAAAGAAAACACAGTGCGTTTTTGGTTCCAACGTTTTCGTTCTAGAAATGCAGAACAAGCCTCGTGGACGGCCGGAGACCTAAGTTAATAATGAAGGATTGAAGGCTATTGTGGAAGCGGATCCATCGCAAACCACGTCCGAGTCAGCTGCAGGATGCGGTGTTAGTGATAAAACTGTTTTAATCCACTTAAAACAAATTGGAAAGATTGAAAGGTTAAATATATATTAGAAATTTGGATATTTCAATCTTTCATTGTTCCACGCACGACTTTAAAATGACGTTTCAGAAGATTCTGACAATGAAGAAAAATGGCTTAAAGTTCTTTATAAGTATATTTAAAATAAAAAAAGTATATTTTTCTTAATACATATTTTTTTTGCTTATGTAAAAAAAAATGTGTTTAGAATAATTTTTGGATGTCCCTAGTAAACTAGCACTTTTTGAGATGTCATTGAGCACCACAGAGATACGGTCTAACCTTAGAATAATTACTAAAGCATTGCTTTGGTCTAACATTTACCTTACGTATCGTTGTCACTATGCCAAATTGATTGCAGCTTTTGCCATAGCTGCAAAAACTATATTTCAGGGAAAGTGTTTTATCCATAAAAACTATTTCACGGTACGTAGCCAAATGCCACATTTAATAATTCAGAGCATTAATTCTGTTAATTTCCATAACTTTTAAATAACCTTCTCTTAATCCGAGTTATCCGATCCATAACAACACTGACGATTCTCTTTGGTTTAACGGCATAACAATTTGTGCTGCCATCTAGTGACATAAATTTTTGTAGTATTTTTCTAAATCATTCATAGGTCTATTGTTGCAGACCATGACACTAATGGTTTATATAAATATCGATATTTCAGTTGATTACGATATATCGATTCACAAAGCCATTATAAATAAATAATTCACATTTTATTAGGTTTTTAGTAAACCCAAAAGCACTTCTTTGTAAAAAATCTTGTTATGCCATAAAATTATAAAAAAATACTGCCGACAATTGACATCTACAGTATTTAAAATCAGCAACTTGGACTGTTCCTACTTCTGAATACTGTTTAGCCTTTCACAAATATATTTAATGTCATATGTGAAATTCAGCTATTAAAAAATAATTTGGACTCGGGTTCGTCAGCATCTTTCATTCATTTCATTTCAATGGTCTAGTAATCTACCCAAACAGCCGAAAGTAATATTTTTCAAATAGGTATTTAAACTTTCGATAAAGACGATGTGTTCTAATTATGATATTTGATCAATTTTGTATTCAGAATGCTACACCGGTAAATATTCTTAATGAATCTTCTTTAATTTATTCTCTTGACATTGGCAGAATTGTCTGAAATGCGCAGATAAAGCTGGAAACAAATTATCGGACGCGGCTGACGGACGCGGCTGACAGCCGCGACTTATAAGTTTGCACAGTCTTCAAGGCTTGCGGACGCGTTTCGATGCCTATTCCACTAAGAACTGTCGATGAAGAAACATGTCGAGTAGTGAAAGTGAGGACGAATTTTTCGAATTAGCGGCAGCAGCTTTATGTTGTCCAGCCAGAAAGTACGTCCACGTTTGGGTCCATGACATATATAAAGAAAGAACGGAGTGTGGTGAATTTCACACTTTGTATCCACAATTATTAAGAGATGAATGTCGCTATAAACTTTATTTTAGAATGAATGAGAATCAATTTAATTTTTTGCTAAATGTAATCGAAAACGACATTGAAAAACAATCAACACAGTTTTGTACTCCTATATGTTTTTTTTATAACATCTCTATAATCCTTCAATTTAGGATTATAAAATAATTCTTTGTTGCGAACACATATATGATTCGTTCCTCCATTTTTAACGCATATGGACACGTGGAATCTCTCGCGTCGTCAGCGTCCTTCTGATGCAAGGACGCGTCCCGCACCCCGTGCATACCGTCCGCGGACGTTTTCGGCTGATAAAAACATCCAGCGAGCCAGATTCCTGTCGGACGTCCGAAGGCTGAAGGTCAGCCCAAGGTTACGTCCACGACTTACATCCGATAGTCTGAACAGCTTAGTGTACATTCATTACGTAGATGCCTATAAGTCGCGGCTGACAGCCGCGTCCGTCAGCCGCGTCCGATAATTTGTTTCCAGCTTAAGCCATTAATAAAAGATGATGAAGAATAAGCTAATATAGATTTCATAGATTTTAATATACTTATATTTACACTTATGACTTAATTCGATATTGGGATTTCATAAGTAAGTATATTTTTCTGTACAGTATTCGTATTTTCGATATATTGATTATCCTACTTACACTAGAGCAGTGATTCTCAACCACTGTGCCGCGGCACTTTTGTGTGCCGCCAAATTTCATCAGTGTGCCGCCAAATTTTGCAAATATATAATAATATTATTATTAAATTATATCATTTAAAAAGAAGAATATTTTTAACATAAATATATATTTATTTCCACAAAAAAATATATATTTTATTATTTGCTTCGCAGCGCGTTTTTTCTTAGTGCCAAATTATGATGAAGCGGCGTGCATAGCAATAGGAATATGTCTCAAGTCGGCGCACACTTGCCACTTCTGCGTACAAAACGTGTTGTTTTAGTGATAGTTGGGATTCACAAGGTGTAGCATAGTAGTTACTGTACCTTTTCTTTCGTTAAAATTGGCAAATGTATGTGATTCGGTTTAATATTAATTTATTTGCATGTAGTGTCAATTTATAAATTTTTAAACAAAAAAAGCTTTAAACATATTATTACAATTTTCCACATCTTATTTGCGTGAATTCGGATTTTCAGCATTAGCCAACATTAAAACTAAAAAAAGATCAAGATTGTTAAATGTAGAAGACGATATGAGAGTAGCATTGTCATTTTTACGACATATGAAATTATCAAAAAACATCTAGCTCAAATTTCGCATTAAAAATATTTTTATTATTAACTTGTAATTAATCCCTTAATAAACGTTTAGTTATTATTGTAGTATATATTAGTTTATTTCGTATATTTAAAATTTTTGTCAAAAACTATTTATGCAGTGTGTTGTAGTAAGTAAATAATTTTTATATTTTTCTTTGTGTGCCGCCAAATTTTGAAATCGTTAAATATGTGCCGCAACAAAAAAAAGGTTGAGAATCTTCTTCTTCTTCTTCTTCTTTTATTGATGGCCCATCTGCGCTTTTCGCACAATTCCGCCAATTTCACGTGGATAGCCACTACACGATAGGGATTCTATACATAATTAATTTGGAAAAGAGATTCTAATATTTAAATAAATAATTATACACTTTCTATGTCGATAACGAACCTGAAACAAAACACATTTTATCGCATGCATCACGTTACACAACACAACACATATACAGGCATAACATTTTAGTAAGGGGGAAATAAGGAATGGTTCATTATAATTTTAACTTATTACTTAAGATAAATTTAATTAGTGTTTTTAAACAGGGTGTATTAACCAGTTGAAGCACATTTTTAATATTAATGAGGCGAGGAACTTCTTGTGGGAGTACATCATACAGGGAATACAAGAGTTTGGGGCAGTCAAATAGTGTGTGTTCTACAGATTCCTCATCTAGGCCGCACTCACAAAGGGGATTATCCTTAACATTAATTTTGGCCAAATGAACTGGTAAGCTTGCGTGTCCAATGCGGAGACGGCATAACACTGATACAACCTGTTTGGGAGTATGTTTCTGTTTTATGAACCAAGGTTTTGTTGGAATAGTTGGTTGGATGTCAAAGTAGTACTTTCCACTCTTATTTTTAGTGTTTGTCCAATGCGTCTCCCATGATTGCGATAGATGAGAATGAAGGAGGGGGGATGAGATCGTTATATGTAAGTTCGGAATGACTAGTACAACCAGTGGAGATTGCATTCCTGGCACACGAATCAGCAGTTTCATTGCCGTGTATGCCACTGTGACCTGGGATCCAGCTCAGCATCAGTTCTATTTCTTTCACTTTACATCTAAGTAAAGCTTCTCTAATTTTGAGGATAATTGGGAAGCGAGATTTGGACCGCATGGGATTGGAGGATATTGCCTGAAGGCAGCTAAGAGAATCGGATAGGATGATTGAGCGGTTTAAATTGTGTGATTCACAATATAAAATTGCCTCCAATATTGCGATTGCTTCACCCGTAAAGACTGATGAGGGTGGTGGTATTTTAAAATTCAGGACTATCTTATACTTGGGTATCCATACTGCCGCTCCAACACTCTCAGTATCTGAAATCTTGGATGCATCCGTAAATATTTGAAGCCAATGCGGCCAGTTTTTACACATTACCTCATTGAAGGATTTATTTGAACTGGGTGACTGTTTTTCAATACCCAGATTAAGTGAGATGGGCGGATCGAAAACTAAAGACTCGAAGCTGTTTAAAAACAAAGGGTTGCAAGGAAATTTTTCAATGGAAATGGATGGGCGGTGGAACTTATAATAACTAGTAACTATACAGGGTACTTTATGAGAAGAATTAGAATTTATATTTGATAAATGGGTCAGCTTGTCTAAAGAAGGTAACAATGGGTGAGTTTCATTTTGTAAAACCTTAAGGAGAAATCTGTCACTGAGGTATTGTCTACGCAGAAAAAGTGGGGGATCGCCCCCTTCTATTTGAAGGGCATTGATGGGGGAGGATTTCATTGCCCCTAGTATAATTCGTAAGCACTTCGATTGGATTTTGTTGATTTTATCCAGAGCTGTTTTATTGCATGGGTCAAGGAGAAATGAGCCATAGTCAAAGTGACTACGAATTATTGCGTTATAAAGCAGTCTTTGAGTTACTGGGTGTGCGCCCCACCAGACGCCAGACAAAGCTCGCAAAACGTTTACGCCCTTTTCTGCCTTACTGGCAATATTATTGAAATGCTCAGTACCCGTGAGTCTAGAGTCAAGTATCATCCCTAAGAACTTTACTGAAGGCCTAATTTCTATTGTGAAGTCCTGAAATTTGATGTTCGGAGCAGGGATGTTTCGTTTCTTTGTAAAGATTACGGTGCTACATTTTGGTGTGGAGACGGATAGTCCATGGTCAGACAGCCAATCACCGAGATATGATAGAGCAGAGTTAAGTCGTGAAGTAGCCTCCGGTATTGATTTCACTGTGACGTAAAGGGCTACGTCATCAGCGTATTGTAAAATCTGGCAGAAGGGGTTCACCGAAAGTTCCATATCGAAAGTGTATAAACTGTAAAGTATGGGGCTAAGAACCGATCCTTGTGGTAGGCCTTTCCATACAGTCCTAGCAAATGAATCGAACCAACTTCACTGGGATGTTCAGATGTTGCATTTTCTGCCTGAGCACCGGAATAAGGACGTTGTCATATGCAGACGATATATCCAGGAATACTCCAATTAGGTATTCTTTTTTCACTAACGCTAAACGGATGTCTGTTGTAAGAGTACTGAGACTGTCTAAAGTGCTATATCCTTTTCTAAAACCGAACTGTGATTTAGCAAGAATGTCATGTCTTTCTACAAACCACTCTAGGCGATTTTTCATTATATGCTCGACGACTTTTAAGAGAACCGACGAAAGGGCTATAGGCCTATAAGAGGAGTGGTCGGATGGGTTCCTACCCGGTTTTAGTATTGGAATCACAATCTGTTTTGTCCATTGATCAGGGATGAGAGCTTTATCATAAAAAAGGTTAATTAATTTTAGGAAATATTGTTTTAATTTATCTGGGGCTCTAATTAAAAAGGAGTATGGAATTCCATCTAGACCTGGAGATGTATCATTAAGGCCAGAAAGCGCTTTTTGAAGTTCTTCAAAGGTAAAAGCTCCGTCTATGATGTCTGTGGAGGGAAAGTGGATATTGGGGTTGATGGGAAGGCAGTCAGCATTTGGGACAGATGAAGGAGCTAATTTATCAGCAAACGCTTCAATCCAGCTTGAGGAATCGTTGGCAGTCAAGTTACGACGGTTGTTAGCTCTACGGAATCTTTTAAGTTGATTCCAGACTATTGCTGAAGGGGTACCAGGTGACAAAGATTCGCAGAATTTATTCCAACCTGTTCTTTTTTTTTGTTTGATTAATTTTTTAGTTTGAGCCGCAATTCGTTGAAACGAAAGGAAGTTTTCCATGGACATGGAATGATTGTATTTTTTTCGGCTTGTTTCCGTCTTTTGATAGCCTCTGAACATTCAGAGTCCCACCATGGAGGAGATATTTTTTTTTGGGTGCAATTTTTTTTGGGGATGTTTATATGTGCGGCGTCAATTAAGTATTCCACTAACGCGTCATAAGCTTTGGTACCATTTTCAGACGTTACTTTTGGAAGGCTATCTACATTACTGTCCAATGTCTCAGAATAAGCTGACCAATTTGCCTTGTGAAGTCTAAATTGTAATAAGGGGGGTGGCCGGTTAGTAGAAGGGGGACTATCTAATGTCGAAATTAAAATTGGGAAATGATCACTGCCGTGTGTACTACTTAATACGGTCCATGATATATTCGATGCCAGTGAAGGAGAACAAACTGTGATATCCACTGCTGATGGGTTTTGATTAGGGCGGTTCCTTCTAGTGGGGCTTCCATCGTTTAGTAGACAAAGATCTCTCTCATCTAATAAGTCAATAAGTTGGCAACCGAGGGAATCATTTGAATATGAACCCCATACCACATGATGTGCATTAAAGTCTCCCATAATTACTACCGGAGGAGGAAGTGTCATAATAATGGCTATTAATTCTGGGATAACAATATTAGGTGAAGATTGGGGAGGAATGTATATTGATAAAAATGTTATGTTTAAGAGTCTCACAGCCACTGCGTTAATGCTGTCACTGTGGGGTGGTAAGTTGATTTTATTAAAAGGGAGGGAGTAGCTGACCAGCAATGCACTCCCTCCATAACCGTCCCTCCTGTCATCCCGGAGGCAGGAGTACCCGGATATGCCATAGAGTGCACCAGGCACCAACCATGTCTCCGATAAGGCAAAGAGAGATGGGGAGAATTTATTTATAAAATAATTTAGTTCATGAGTTTTGGTATTAATGCTACTGCAGTTCCATTGAATTATCGTCGCCATTTTTGTTATTAGTGAGAAATTTGTGAAGTTGATTGATTTTTTGCGCAACGTTGGTCGGTACTGGGATGTCATCAAATCTATTTAGAAGGCTTACAACAAATGTTAAGAGGGTTTCTAACAAGTTATCATTTGGGGAGATTTCTATTGGTGCATTGTCATTATTGAGAGCGCAGCCATTTGGGAGGAAAGAGGGGCAGTTTTCAATAATAGCCTGATGGGCTAATCGATCATATCCCGGGCTCAAAGGGGTTCTAGAGCTTGGGGGAAGGAATACAGTTTTCCGGTATGAAGTTGTACCTGTTGGATGTTTGTTAGGAGATGTTTGTGTGTGCTGAATATGGGGATGCCTCGATAGAGGAGATTGGGTTACATCCGCATAGGATCTTTTCACTGAGGGAAATCTTTGGGATGCTTCTTGGTATGAAATATTATCTTGTGACATGAGTATTTTAATTGATCTTTGTCGAGACTGTTCTGGGCAACTTTTGTTAGTAGCATAATGACAGCCTAAACAGAAAAGGCAAGTTGATTGTGCTTCAATAATACTTCATCATTCCCCAGAGTGAGGTTGAGCGCAGCGGAAGCAACGTGGTTTAGACCGGCATTGTACTTTAATGTGTCCAAATCTGCAGCAGTTTAGACATTGTATAGTGGGAAAATGGTAAGCTTCTACTGGCACGGACGTATGGTAAACAAAAACTTTATTAGGGAGGACCTGTCCTTGGAATGTAAGAACTACAGTTTGAGTTGGTACCCAGGTCACTTTGCCATCTATCACAGTCTTTCTATTAAGTCGTCTTGCCTTCAAAATATGACCGCAGCTAACAGGGATTACTAACGATTCTACTAACTCTTCCATTGATAGATCAGATGGTACACCTTTAACAATTCCCATGCGAGTAACATTGTAATTAGGTATTTGTGCAGTATATTTATAGATTGAAAGGAAGGAGTTGTTTATGAACTGATTTGCATCCAAACTGGTCATAAATTCAACAGAAATTCTATTGCGACCAACTTTTTTAATACCATCATTGACAATATTTTTAATCTTGTTTTTAATTAGTAACTGGCCAAACTTAATGGGATGAATTGATATGCCTGATGAGGGATCTGTTTCAGTTTTAGAGATATGAACAATAAAAGGGCCTTTATCACTATCAATATATTGTTTGTTAGTTTCGTTTATAGATGGGTGGGTGTATATACCGGGAGGGTTCTCTGTGACATCTGTCTGCCTAACCTCTGTTATTACTCTTTTGGGTGTGTTAGTCAATTCGGGTTCAATTTCATTTCGACGTTTAACTCCTGTCTGTGTGAATAGCGGAGGAGAAAGTTCCATCATTAGTGGAGTAGAAGGCCGATCCGGCGGATCCGGAGGTTCAGGAGGGGTCCTTTCCATTGATTATTTTGTAATCAGTGGAAAGGACGGGGAAACAGAAATCTATGACTACTTACCAATACCAGCTGTTAGTACTAAATATAAACACAATATTTCGTAATTCCACGTAGAAAATGGGCTAATATTCACTAAATAAACAAAGAAATCCCCATACCACGTGTAACAACTACGACCAAAAAAAAACAGGTTGAGAATCGCTGCACTAGAGACTTGACAGTAACACTGACACTGACAGTCAATAAAACAAAGAGGATGCTTTTTGGTTAACCTAAAAAATTGTTTTTCTTTTAATTACAAATTTTGAATTAAATAGAAGAAAATGAAGCGGAATGGTTTGCTACATAAATTTATATTTTTCAATAACCATAAGAAGCCTCTGCTGCTGTCAAGTAATTTGTTTTTTTATTATTATTACAGAATAATCATATTCTAACCTCGATTATGTTTGTTAATGTTTACTTCCCCTTTTCAGGATTTCTAAGCACACAAGAAGCGATAGAACGTCGGAACCATTTATTCACATTAGAGAAGAAAAGACAACATGAGAAAGTTGGTAGAATTGAGAAAATTGAAGTCAGATATAAGGGTATCCCTAAAGATTGCACTTTAGTAATGAATAAAGGAATATCGACTCCTTATGATTGTGCCAGACGTGAGTTGAAATATTTAAATAATTTAAATTATTGTATTTGCTAAATATCCATTGAACGAACATTGATAATTATTTTATAGTAAACTACTCATCTGGTTTGCGACAGATTAGGGGTTTGAATTGTAGGCTTTCACACAGCCTCTAAGTTTATTAATATTCCTTGTTTTATGTCGGCTGTCATTTTATAATTCTTTTCCATCAGCATTTATTTGTCCAGTATTTGACATGTGCCTTCCCCAATTGCTTCCAATGTGATCTGCAGGTTGTCTGACTTATCCAAGATTTACTAGTTGCTTGAATAATATAATATATTTGGACCATTTTCCTTTTGGTCATCCTGGCTTCTTGTTGGATTTTTATGGCTGCCTTATAGCATAGTTCTTTAACATATTCTGTGGTGTATCTTTTGGCCCCAAAATCTGTTTGCCACTTTTACTTACTTTTTTGGTGGGATCATAGTCAAGTGTTAACCTTTAAAGTATATAAAAAAAAAAACTTACCCACTTGTGTCCCTATGCTTAGTTATTCAATTTCATCATTAGGAATCGGAATGAAATAATAAGCCTTTTATTCTCATCTTCCAGTATATTGTCTTAAAATAAATTTTGCTAGTTTAAAATTAACCCTACAAAATGTCTCATAGTTAGGTGTACCTCTTGGCATAGGCCTCCTTCAACAGTTTCCACAGAGTGCCAGGGACAAAGTGGGTTTTTTTAACATTTTTATTAAGAATAGTTTCCACTGAGTCCTGTCCTTCTCTACTCTTCTCCAATGGTATCCTTTTTTTTTAGTTTTTTTTTTAGGTCACACATCAATGATATGGCGTCCCTTTAATATTAAAGACCATAAAGATCCTGTCACATTGCAGTTTGTTTTTTGTTTTAAGGCATTTTATGTTATCACTGGTATCGAGGAGTCCCATAGCAAGTATATTTTTATGTTGTTCTAATCGTCTAATATATGTCTCGCATGATGTCCTGATATCATTCTTATTATAGTGTATTAGCAAATATTCATGTACTTCGACGTTTTTTGTGAACCATGGCGCATTGCACAGAATTTTCAGAGAAGAATTGTTATTAGGACAACTCCTTTTCTTGTGTTAAAACGTCCACAGTGATCAAATCAAATCCAGGTGCTTTTTTTGGCTTTACATTTATAATATGTTTCCATACTTCTCTAGGCGTGACCAGTTCCAACGGCAGAGACATTTGGAAAGCGCTACTACTAACTTCTTCAATGTGAGCCTCTGAATACGACGAGTTAGGTTCATTGGGTTGAAAGACTTTCTCTGTAAAGTTAGAAAATAATTTTGCTTTTTCTTCCGAGTTTCTAGCCCATCCACCCTTTGGTTGTTTCAATGGCGGTTTATGCTGCTTTGGTCTTTTGAATGTTTTTGTCATCTTCCACAATGAGTAACCCTCGGTTTTGTATTGCGAAAGCGACTTGAGCCGATCATGTAGAGTACGATTTTCATTCTTTATGGGCCTTGTTAAAATATCGCCTATCGTTCACATTTCTACTAGTTTGCCACTGTCGTCTTAGCCTTCTTTTTTCTGCTATTTTAATACAGATCTCTAAAGGATAATTCTTGTTTTGAGGAGAAGATTCTATATATGGAGTAGATAACCATGCAGCTGTCTGAATTAAATTGGTGAGACTGCAAGCAGCATCTTCAACCTCATCTTCAGTTTTAAGAGAAATCTTGAGCTCAATATTCTCATTCATATAACCTCGAAAGGATTCCCAATCAGTCTTGCGATTGTAAAGGCTTTCTCGCGATCAGAAGAACCATCCAAAGATGTTTCTAATTTAGAATAAAGTTCTGAAATTTGCCCGGCCACATAGAAGTCGAAGAGGTCTGGTAACTTATTTGGGTCTGTTGGCCAGTAAGTTGGTTCTCCAGATGTTAATACGTTGAGAGATTTTTTTTCTAGTTTTTTTTTAACTCTCGTCCCCTAGTTGTAAACACTCGTGAGCCCCATATGGTATTTTTGGCGTTCCAGTCTCCGCCTTTAAAGAAGCATTCAAACATTCTCTCATCAATACAATGACGAGGAGGACAATAAATAGCTACTACATTTAGCGTCCCCTGCCATTGATCAACTGACAATACTGCAGCTTGCAAGTACGTATTCAGAGATAGGCCATTTATGTTCCAGGTTGCAATCTACACTATGAGTGTTGTAAGGAGACCCATTAGTGTCCCTATTTGTTGAATTAATCTTCTCTGATTGCTTAGTTATAATTTGCTCAAGAAAATTTGATGACTCAGATTTCATTATCTCTGGTTTTTTTATAATTAGCTGGATTATCCCCTACACAAAGCGCACAAGTAGCTATTTCTGTCTTTTTTTGGGCAGTCCGTTGTTCTATGTACCTTAGCGCATTTCACACATCTAAATGGACGCATACAATTATTTTTTGTGTGACCATACTGTTGCCATCTTGCGCATTGAGGAATATCATTCGTTTTTCTAGGGTCTTCAATTTTAACCTTCAATGTTAATTGTATCTTTCCTGTTCCTGTCAAAGTTAATGGTAGATCATTTCCCCTCTCATATGTTGATGTCCTCTGTTGCGTTTCCATCTCTTGGATTCCATTCTGATTAAATTTTTCTCTATTTTTCCAGTTTATCTCAGATCCACATGTGTCCTGTCCCTGTCTTGTTTCCATATTTTTGTCCCTAGTTTTGTCTCTATTCATAGATAAGCTGACATTCATATTCTTCTTGTTTAGTTTTTTTATAATTGTTTCCAGATTGTTCGGATTGGATTTTTCTTCGAACAGGACTATATCATCCGTAAACCTTGGATGGTTCAGTTTGATACCATCAACACTTAAGCCAAAGTTATCCCAATCCAGTTTTCGAAAATGCTTTATTATACATCTGAAAACAATTTCGGCGATAAGGCGTCTCCCTGTCTGACACGTCTTTCAATCTTAAACTTATTGCCTAAGCTTTCAAGTTGTATCCTCGCTTTGCTGTTTGTGCAAATGTTTTTAACCATTTCAATATATTGTATAGGTATATCTTGTTGTTTTAGGCTCTCCTATATAGCTTTATGCCTTATGCTGTCGAAGGCTTCGGAATAGTCTATGAATGCTATGTACAGGTTTTTGTTATATTACTTTGTATTCTTGTACATTTTTTCCACAGTGTGTAAATATGGTCTAGAGTTGAGAATATATGTCTGAAGCCTGCTTGTTCTCGTGGTTGATTTTCGTCAAGTTTCTTGATTATTCGTACCAGAAAGAAAACTTGTAGGTCTGTAATTCAATGTTTTCTTTCTTTTAAATACAAGAGCTCATTATTTCGTTAAATATTGGCATTAGTTTCTTTCAGAAGCTCATTTGTGATTTTGTCCAGACCTGGAGCTTTATCTATATTCTAGCTATGTAAGGCATTTCTGTTTCGCTAGTCAGTAGTTTTGGTTCTATAACCGCACTCTGTTGCCATCTATTTCTTTCTTCCCGTATTCCATGTTTGGCTTATCATGGCTTGATAGATTGAATATATGTTCATAGAATTTAATAATTATTTTGTTAATGTCCTTTCTGTTTGTAACTTTATCTTCCTTCATGTTTAATTTTGGTCTCCATTCTTTGTTGACTCCTTTAGTTCCTTGAGGGCTTTCTTTATTCTCCCTGTTCTCTTTATTTAGTCTTCCAGTGTTTGAACCCTTTTTTCTTTCCTATCTTTCCTGATATTCTCTCTGATTTCTTTGATTAGTTTTGTAACTATTTTCATATTTTCTTTTTGGGGTAGTTAACAAGAATGTTTTTCCTTTTCTCTGTAAATGATAGGGTTATATCATTTAGTCTATACTTGTTTTCTCCCTTGATCCCATAGTGGACTAGTATTAGATTCTGTCTAGCTCAACATAGTTTGTAGGTATGTCTTAATTTCCGTCTCGTTTTGTCATTTCTTTCTTTATTTCACTGAAAGACTTGGTCATTTTTGTTATAATGTCGTTACTATACAGGACTTTAAATATAGATGTAAATTTTCTTGTGGAATCATAATACAAATGTAAACAATTCTTTTGCATATTTTCTGGGAAAAAAAAAAACTTGTGAATTATTTTTCATAATTAGGAATAGTTTTTCTGTTTGTTACAAATATATTGAGATAAAATATATTTTGTTTAAATTATATACACGTACCTTACAGAAGAATAATTCAAACATTTATGATATACAAAACATCTTGTATTGCAGATTTAACTGAGTGGCATGTGGATAGTAGTGCATTGGCACTTATTGATGGTTCTATTTACTGGGACATGCACAGACCTCTCAATGAAAATTGCACCCTTGAAGTAAGTTGAAATAAAGTTGATTTGACTAACAAAACTTCATTTGTACTGTTATTATGACTAAAAGTATAGCATGGTCACATGGAACACATGGAAGAGAAAAAAAAATGTATAATGATTTGGCACTACATATCTCTTTCACTCACGCACAGACATGTTGCTATTGCGCTTGCACAGATGCATCTAGGCAATTTTTGAGCAACATGGCGTCCTGCATTTCGTCCGATTCGCGAAATTTGAAAATGTGACTGAATAAAAATTTTATATTTTTTTCGTGGTTTGTTATAATTTTAGGATTGAATTGAGATACTTTTCAAAAACAGGTTTAATAGCCTATTCGGGTCTGGTGGCAACCCTGAGCAAACCTAAACTGTGCTATAATCGCACAAGTGTTTTCATGTATTGTTAGTAACATTATTAAGAAATATACCAGGCAAAAGATATCTGGATACAGACCGCAATCAGTTGATGTAACTCTATGCCTGTCTTTAATAATAATAGATAATAACATTCTAGCATCTGTCTGTTACAGTTACAGAATTTCACAGTTGCTGAACCGCAGCAAGTGAATAAGGCGTTTTGGCGTACATGTTCGTTCCTGCTCGGCGCTTGCGCAACTGTGGCCTTCAAGGACACAGTGCCTGTAAGATTACACAGCTTCCCTGGACCTGACAGTAATTATAAAATAAAACTAATTATATATTTATCGATAACATTGTAGAAGTGATATGTCTATGTTTTAGCGTAACAGATGTCAATTCTAGCTGAAACATATAGCCGTTAATTAAGTCTAAATCTAATCAAGGGTGGTAGTAACTGATATAATTAAGGACTTGGACATTACACAATATTCAGTTTGAATTTTATTTAATTTGTGACTGAGTCGTTTTGAGAAAGAAGAATGTTCACTCCTAATACAAGATGTCAATGTTATTAATCGTTATAAAAGATAGTTATATATTATTTTACTATGCCTACACGATGATTACTAATGTTGATTTTGACAGGTCAGAATTGAACTTTCTTCTTTGCATCTCGGATGGTTTATGATTTGAAAGTTTGACAACTGGATTGTTTATGTCACTTGAACAGTTTTGAAACTGTTTGTAACTGGACTTTTTTTATAACAGATTTCGCACCCACCAGAGTTGACAATATGTAACTTATTTTCACAGTACGCAGTGGATCCTTCGTCTACGATATCGATTTACCCACATTAGAGGATTGGAAACCAACACCCCAAGAACTGTTCACTATTACTGCGGAGTATGTTAAGTTGTGTCGTCGAGATTTACCTGTAGAAAGGCTAGAAGTCAGCGAAGAACTAGCAAAGGAGATGTTCATCGATAACCCGCATAAAGTGAAACAAGTGCCCAGCATCGCTAGTAGACATGGTAAGATTTCTGATGAGTTGAAATTTAAAAATCGAGTCGTTGTACATATATATAATAGTGGCCTTTAGGTAGATATTACAATGGCAATATGCAAGTAGTTGAGATTCGGTATTGCACCGGATAAACCGTACTAGCCGTTTTTTTAAACATTAGAAATTCTGTCGCTACCATGCCTGCACATCTTCGAAATCGCGAAGTTTAAGTTTACTTTAAAACCGCCAAAGACTTGTTTCTCGGGAACACGAGAAACTGCGATAGGTCGGTAATTGTACCAAAAAGTACATGGTTTAAACGAAATTGTTATTATATGTGCATTTTAATATATATGACGGCGGCTAGTCTCAGGAGGCTATTACGAAGCCCAAATAGATCGTCCATATCGGAGGACTATCTTTAAAATAACACTGCAGGCGTGTATACCAATGTGGACTTATTCCATTTTATTACTTTTCATACGAAAATATAACGAGATCAGCGTGATGTCGTCGGATGTCTTTACTCCTCGACGATCGGAAACAGAAGTAATGTCGAAATGGCGGCATGCTTTTTGTTAACGAACTGTCAAAGTCAGTGTTACCATTCTAATAAAATTAAAAGTATCGATGATCACGCCCTCCGTCGATGACGTCCGATCTATATCGCCTCTAATCAAACAATCACATCATAATGGCCGACCGTCTAACGTTTCACCAGAGTGAATAATAATTCACTTTCGTTTAGGAATCAATATCAAATATTCGTGGTACAATCGATGCGCCGACATATAAAAAGCTTCATGAAGCGATAAGGGACTTACATTATCAATACAAATTTGACATTCATTAGAGCTCAAAGACGTCATTAAACCTTAATGGACGTTTGTGCAACTGACCGTCTGTTACATAAACATTATCAGAATTGGCCTGCTGGAATGACGCTCATAAAAAAATCACAACAAAATAAGAATAATGTAGGTAGATATTGTATGTTTAGGGTTCAAATAATTATAGAAAACATAATCATTGAAATAAAATGTTTGTCATGCCATGCCGCCTACTCAAATACGAGCGCCCTAGGCAGTTGCCTAATTTGCCTATATGAACCGGTCGGTCTTGCTGATATACATAATATGTATGCTTCCAGGTAACATTACCCTTTATAGGGTCGGTAATCACGTGGATATCTCCAAAGGACCGATGATTGCTAATACAGCGCAAGTTGGCAAATGTACAATAGCTTCAGTGCACAAATTAGTAGGTAAGGAACATCTCACCAATATGTGATCGCTACACTATTATAATAAAACACACAAATAAGGAATAAGGAGCAATTTAAAATTTATTCTTATTAAGCCTATAAGTAGTTAAGTATATTTCAACTTGCTTTATTACTTATTTATGTGTTTACAATAATATATCCGTGAATAATATCCTTAAATGATTCTCTGGAGTTCAGTCCAGTCAGAAAAGTTCTTATTTCAAATTTCTGCAATGGATTTTGACCTCTACCCTCAACATATTAAAGTTTAAAATTGAGTCTACTTAATAACATGTAAACTAACCATACAATTAGAAGGAATATTTTTCAGTATATTGTGAATGCATAATTGGTCAAGTATAATAATTAGAACAAATTTTCATCTTTATCAAAGTTTAAATATTTATAAAAAAAAATCTTTTGGCTATTTGGGTAGATTGCCTGAACATTGATATACCTGAAATACGCGCTGTGAGAGCGAAAAAGTAACTAGTGCTTTAAAAACTCGTCAGTCCTGTTAGGTCCTGAGAAGCTCAGTGGTTAGAGCGGCCGCCCGAATTGCAAAAATTGATTCGAGCCCCATCTCAGAGTGCCAGGGACAAAGTGGATTTTTAAGTATTTTTCATTAAGAGCATTTTACAGTATAGGATAATATAATAAATAATGTTTACTTTTAGGACCGCCAGATGGCGATGTCAAGCAGCTATACAGATTCCAAGGAGTGGCGTTGCCTACTTCTGTCATGTTAAACCACTTCGCATTCTCTATTCTAGTCAACAGAGCTAGGAAATTGGTAAGACAGTCTTGTAAATTGGTTCTTTACAATAGCAATATTTGATAAAAAAAAACCTATATACTAAATTGTCTACTTTGTACTCAAAAAGCGTCCAGTACTGGAATATATGAACGTATATGAGCGAACTGTACATATATTGCTTAAACAAAATCAACTGTATTGTAATATAATTAAGATTCAAATTATATTAATGAATACAAAGTATATAAATAACGTAAATTTTTCACAGACCGGTTCCCCGATTGTAATGAGAATCTTGTTAAGCCAAGCCATAATACAACTTGTTTCTTTATTTTACTTTAGTTCCATTTTTGCAGTCGTATTTTTTAGGGTTCCATACCCAAAGGGTAAAACGGTAACCCTATTACTAAGACTTCGCTCTCTGTTTGTCTGACACCACGCAGTCTCATGAACTGTGAAGTTAGACTGAAACTTTCACAGATGATGTATTTCTGTTGGCGCTATAAAAACAAATACTAAAAAAAAAACAGAATAAAATAAATATTTAAAGGGGCTCCTACAACAAACGTGTTTTTTTTTGCTCGTTTTCGGTGCCCTTCGTGCGCGATAACGGCAAGCACTTGGGCAGTTTTTAAATAATTCGTTATTTCATTAATTACATTGTAATATTTTGGGTGCCTGACTGCAGCCCATTGACCCTAGATTAATTCAGAGTTGTTTCATTATTTGCTTAATTTACAGCCAGTTGCACAAACTTCCGTTTTTTGACAATTTTGTTATTAGCAGCGGTCGGCAATCTTTTGGTGAGCTAAAGCCACAAGGTGGCAAAACAAACTAAAGGCGGGCCGCACTTGTGATAATTAACCTTAGAAGCCAAATATAACCTATAGAGCCCACGAATAATTTATATCCTGAGAAAAATTAAAATGCTATTAAAATTGTTAAAACATACGGAATTTATTTCGTACACTGAATGAAGACTATAAAGTTACTACTAACAAGTAACTAATTTTACACAAAGAATCATGTCCATTTTCTTTACATTGATTGACCTGTCACATGTGTTTTTTAAAGATCTACTTACCATTAGTGATAATTTAAATTAGTTTTTGTTTAAATAGAATAATATCTAAGCATTCTATCCGAGTACGCCCTTCCCGCGCACAGCCCGCGTGTCGCTCATTTGTTCGTTCGCGGTAAAGAGAATATATAACCATAGTATAATTATGTTCTAACACTATGTTAGTTATGTTCAGAGCGCTTAGTGTAAGTTTTTTTGACGTTTACGTTCACTGTCGGTCGTGAGCGCATTAAGATTTTACTATGGAATCCGGTACAGCGCCCCTAGCGGTAACTACCAAGTATTACACTATCTAGGGTCAATGGGCTGCAGTCAGGCACCCAAAATATTACAATGTAATTAATGAAATAACGAATTATTTAAAAACTGCCCAAGTGCTTGCCGTTATCGCGCACGAAGGGCACCGAAAACGAGCAAAAAAAAAACACGTTTGTTGTAGGAGCCCCTTTAAATATTTATTTTATTCTGTTTTTTTTTTTTAGTAATTCTTAACGCGCTCACTAGTGAACGCGTTAGCGTAAAACTTATACTTACTTGAAACTGAATTCACGTTATACGGCCGATCGCAGTTCGTTTATGAATTTATTTCGATATTTAAAACTTATGAACAAACTCTGGTTTAAAGCGATACAATTTTGTCATTACTTAGAGCTTGAAGGCGTCATTTAACCTAAATGGACGTTTGTGCAACTTACCGTTAGTAATTTATGTATGTTTCATTACCAGAATCCAGTGTGGTCACCAGTAGGTACAAGTGATCGTGGTGAGCCGATCGTCGATGATGTGAGGACCGTGTCTGCTACAGCGTGAATAGATTTAATTAAAAGTACTATAGTGTAGTTTTATATGTAAGTTGTTAATAAATATAATAATTTAAGAATCGTTGTTTTATTTATTATGGAGGTTTATTAACAAAATTCTGAAATGACGGAGGTTATCTATTCAGCGACTATTCCGCAGTTTTCGACTAATTTACGAAATTATTTCGAATATGGGGCCAACCATATGAATTTTCAAATCTGAGTAATAGTGAGGACGTTAATAGATTGGTGATAATTATCAACCTGATTTTGAATAGGACGTCAGAACTGCATCGAATATTATCACAGATAATATAAGAACAATGCATCATAATATTAAAGAGATTCATAAAAATAACGATTTGATAATAAATAAATATATTATTTACAATTCAATCAGTTTTTTGTTTCTTAGCATCTGAGGGTCCTTCGTCACCACCGTCTTCGTTTTGGAATATCGGTTTAGGTTGAGTCTTTTTATACGCCGGCGCCACCCAAAATGGATTCTCTTCCGCTTCCTTAGCGTATTTCAATATGGCTTCCCTAGGATCCTGCTCGTCATCCACCCTCTTGCTCAGACCCAAGTTTCTAATGACGAAGGAACTTAACGTACTTCCGGAAGCTGCTACTCTGCCTCCTTGGCCAGATGTTATAGGCAAATCAGGCCTCCTAGATTTGAGAGGATCCAATCTGTCTTTCTCCATTTTCTTTTTGCTGGTCCTCAGTTTTTCTTGTCTAAATAGCGGTAAGGCGTGAGGTGTTATGATCTGTTGGGAACTCACAACTTCCACGGAATGTTTCTTCCTATGTGTTTTTACGACGCACAGTTTGGCGCCTCTCAAACTTCTCTTCTGATCATAGTAGCATTTGACGACACCGTTCCCACACCCTACAAACATTTGATTTAACTTTGCGTGCCACACAGCTTTAATCACATGGGACTTGGCGACTTCCAACTCTGTTACCAACTCGAAAGTCTTCGTATTATAGAATAGCAATCGCCCAACCTCTTGGCCTCTATCCAACGACACTCCAGTGAAGATCATGCTGTCATCAGGACTGAAAGAGCAATCAGTCTGCTCATACCTGGAGAATAATCCACCGAATATGTGTACAGGCTTTTTGAAGCTCCTCAAATCCCAGAGTTTCAGGGTATCATCATTACCTCTGCTCGCCAAAAAGGAACCTAAGTAAGAGTATGATATACTGCAGATTTCAGACTGTTTCTGATGTGCATCTCTTAGTATTGCTGAGGTGTTAACGAAGTTCTTTCTGTGGTCCCACATTTGTATTGAGCCGTCGTAGCAGCCGCATGCGACAGTGTTGCCATCTCTTGAAAAGGCGCAAGCGGTAGGGTTGGTTTTTAAACCTCCTTGTTGTCTTGGTTTTATGACCGATTTGTGTTGTTTAGGGTTATCTGTTAGCCAGAGACGTAAGGTGCCGTCTTGTGCGCACGTCATGAATTCTTCGCGGATGTTCGGATGCCAATAGCCGCTGTTCAGTGAGGCTGTGTGACCTTTCGTCCTGGGAATTATGAGTTTTATGTTAGTTTAGACAATAAGAAGTCTCGACGTACATTCGTCAGGTAACTGTATAAACTTGCGGTTGTTAAATAGGTATTTAGACTACGAGCGCATTAGACGGCTAGGTCGTAGCGATGGTTAACAATGTAGCTAAGAATTCTCAGTTCAATGAGATATTTTTGTGTATTACGAAAAAATATTGAATGAGTGAGTCAACATTTTTATGGATCAATGAAAAACTACAAAAATTCTGTTCAGTGACATTTGTTAAACGTTTTTTACTTATTAAACTTTACCTCGATCTTTGGGGTGGCGGCGGCCAATGTGGGCAGCTTATCCCTAGCGTGTGGTATTTAAAGTTGGGAACGATAATTAGATCTCACTGGCTCCTTATACATAATAACATCAAATAAGAAACAATGAGCAAGAGTTTTTTGATCAGAGCTTAGCTCTTGCATTTGCTTTTGCACTTTAGAACATTTCCCTTTGAGGCGATGTCCTAAACAAGGAACATATCTTACCAAAGATACGTCGCGTGATTGTCAGTTGCAGAAAGTCAGAATTGACAAATATATAATATGACATTCAATCTTCAACACTCGATGGATGTTTCCTAATGCATAAGACTATACATTACCAAAGTCCTTCAGGCCAATCAGCCTTACGTCATTTCTTCTGAAGACCATGGAGAAGGTATTAGACAATTATATCAGACAAGGGAGTCTCATCAATAAACCCATACATGATACCCAGCACGCCTACCGAAGCGGCAGATCTACGGAGACTGCCCTACTAAACCTTATAGACAAGGTTGAAAAGGCACTGGACGATAAAGAAATAGCACTCGTTGCTTTTCTTGATGTGGAAGGAGCGTTCGATAACACGCCCACCGAGACATTAGTAAGAGGATTAGTCCATAAAGAGATTGACTCCACTACGGTAAGATGGATAAGAGCCATGCTAGAGAGTAGGACAGTGAGGATGGAACTACTCAACGATTCACTAGAGTTAGCAACAACAAGAGGATGTCCGCAAGGTGGAGTACTTTCTCCGCTACTGTGGACTCTTGCGGTGGACCAGCTTCTCCATAAGATGGCTGAACTCCGCTTTGACACCCTGGGCTATGCCGATGACCTGGTGGTGATAGTGAGAGGAAACTGCCAAAGTATGCTATCGTACCTTATGCAGAGGGCGCTGAACACAATTAACTCATGGTGTAAAGACAATAATCTGTCGATTAATGCAGGCAAAACCGTGGTCGTCCTATTCACAAGGAAACGAAAACTGGATAAGCTCTCGCCTCCGACCATGAATGGGAGGCTCATTCCGTTCTCGACAGAGGTCAAGTTTCTGGGGGTAACACTGGACCAGAAACTTACCTGGAACGCACATGTTGACGGAATTATACAGAAGTCTAAAACAGCTCTGATGATATGTTGTCGGCTAGCGGGAAATAGATGGGGCTTGAAACCCAATATAGCCCTCTGGCTCTACACAGCCATCATAAGGCCGATGGTGTCTTACGCCTCGGTGGTTTGGAGTAGAAAAACGACACAGAGTACTATCATATCAAGACTTAACAGTCTGCAAAGGACTGCTTGTCTTATAGTAACAGGAGCTATGTCTTCCACCCCGACTGCTGCCCTTGAGGCTCTGCTAAACCTGCCGCCCCTACATCTACACATTGAAATGGTGGCGAGGGCTAGTATGTACAAATCTTGTGGAGATACCCACCAGGGACGACTGGTCAAACAATCGTATAGTATGGAAAAATGGAAGCCTAAAGTGGTACACTGACGGCTCCAAATCCGGTCCTGAGGTAGGATGTGGAATTTATGGAGAAGCCCCAAGGACGGCTATAAGTCTGAACATGGGAAAGTACTCCTCAATATTCCAGGCGGAGGTGTACGCCATTTTGGAATGTGCGGCAGCCAATCTGCAAAACAACTACCTCAATCATACTATCTACATCCACTCTGATAGTCAAGCTGCACTCTTATCACTAACCTCCGACGTAACTAGATCGAAGCTGGTCGAGAACTGCAAACAGACATTGAACTCTTTGGGCAACAAAAACAAAGTAGTTCTACGATGGGTTCCAGGTCACGCTGGACTCGAGGGCAATGAACAGGCGGACAAACTGGCGAAGAAGGGTGCTAAAGACGCCCTTATCGGACCAGAACCTTTCTGTGGCATCCCTCAAAGCCTAACCCAGCTCACCTTGAAAACATACTGCCATTACGCAGCTATTCAACTATGGAGAAACACTCCCGGTATGAAACACTCTAAGACCCTGATTAAAACCTTCAATAAAAAGGCGGCATCAGAGGCCTTAAACTTAACCAAAAATCACCTTCGCACACTAGTACGACCACTCACGGGACATTGTGGACTGAACAGACACATGTACAATATGGGGATCAGCGGCAGTAGAATGTGCAGAGGATGCAAGGAGGAGGAGGAAACACCTTTGCACATTTTGACCGATTGCCCGTCACTAATGCGAAAACGATGTATCTATCTGGGAAAGCACGTGATGCACCCAGACGATATTAAAGAACTTACGGCCAAGAAAATACTACAGTTCCTTGTAGAATGTAATCTTGACCGTGAACTGTAGTATGTGGAGATCACAATAGATCAGCAATGGTCGCAGTGATACTGGGCTGCATAAACCCAAGATAATCCGCAACTCGAAACAATAACAACAACAATGCATAAGAAGCCTGATGTATTTTCTGTCAGATTTAAATGAACCCGAGTCGAGTAATTAAACTGTGAGTTACATCATTTTAGACTGTGGCCAATGAGTGGCATAATATATTAATGAGCATTGGTTTAGCTGGTGTAAACACTTACTTTGCCATATCAGCAATGTACTGGTCACCTTTCACACATTCAAGTACTTCGAAGCCATCCCTGTCCAGTACTTTAGCTTGTGCAGAACCACTGATAACTAATATAGAATCTCCGGTTGTGGAGTACTGGAGTGTCTTAATAGGGTGGTTCTCGCAAGGCTGTAGAGTACGGAATGAACGCATTGAAGCATCCATACCTGTTAAACAAATGTTTTTTAAGAAACAACATAGGACGATTGGGGTGTGGCCTGGATGACATTATCCTTTAGGTCAAAGTGGAAGTCAACTCCTCTGGCATTGTAATTGACAACGAAATTTCTAACTATTTTAAAAGATAGTTATTTTAAATATGTTTCAGCTAGATATTGGTGGCAAATGTAAACTTTATTTAGATTCAAATGTAGTTTAATTTAATTTGATGTTAGCTGAACAATGGAAGAGTGACAAAAATTTAAAATATGAAATCTAATCTTTCCAGAATGCAACACTGTATGCCTGAACACCAGTTTCTATAATTTAATAGACATTAATAAAAACGTACCAGCAAAATCCCAAAAGGAAACTTCATAGTCAATTGATCCAGTTGCTAATCGGGCTCCAGATGGATCCACAGATAAAGCGACAACAGCTTTTGATCCGTGTTGCATTTGAACCTGTAAAAATATAATGAACTTATTTTGTTTGATTATAGATATATATGTAGTTGAATTTCTATAAAAGTACACATGTACTGTGTCACATGATTAAAAACTTAAACTTTTACATCGCATTATATTAGATTGAATGAAACGGGTATTAACAATAGATTGATAGTAGAAATATACATAACTGAAAAACCTAATAATCAATCTATTGCGTTAATACCCGTTTCATATTATCTAATGATTAAAAACTGTCTCACAGATGTACTAGCTGTCTCATGACCGATTTCACCAACATCCTATAAATTAAGGGGACCCCTAAACCTGGTTAGGTGACCCCTAACTACGTTATTGTGTTTCACCAACGCTTAGGGTTTTAAAATGATTTCTAAGTTTAGGGGACCGAATATTCAGCCCATAACGTTATGTGACAGTTTATAAGAGCGTTTTACTATGAGATGGTGGTCATGCAGAGTTAAAATATTTGTTATAGAGTTTAGAGAATGGATATCGAATTATTTGATTTTGTATAAAGTTTCGAAATTTACGATTTACTATAAGAAAATAGATTATTTAGGTGAGTATTAAAATACATTATTTAGGTGAGAATATTATACAGCGTAATATACGGGAACGACCGGATTATTTCAATTAATACGACAACGTGAACTTTTTTAAACTATATAAATTATCCAAGAATAGTATTTTATTTATGTAAGAGGAGTTTGGAGGTTCATGACAATATAGGTAAGAAATGTTTTAAAGTTTTAAAACAAAAACCTTAAAACACTAAAATCTATTCACAAAGATTCACATTAACAGATTTGTAATAGAGAAATGTGCCGACAAATACAATAGTATTGAAAGTAATACACAAAATGGTAAGGTTTATAGATGAACAGATGGCCTACATCTGTGCATTGTTTAGTACTCCTTTTGAGATTTGCTGATAACACGATTTGGACACTCAAAAAAATTAACACTATATTAAAATAAAAAAATAAACATACATCACTAAATTGATTATTGACAATAAAAGTAGTACAGACACATCGACTTTTGATAAAAAATTGTATAATATGCAAAGGAGTTCAATTATCCAGCCCTAACTTATGAAAAAATCGTTATCATTCTTTATTTTTACTTGATTTTTATTTTTATTTTATGACCCGCATGTGGCAAACCAAAAGTTATTATATTAATTAATTTTACAATACACTGAAACAGGTTCAATTGTATGTTGTACAGTATTAAAATATTAATAGTTTAAAAGTTACGGTTGTCACATTATTAATAATGAAAAAAAAAACTGTCACATTCATATGGGTACCCATACTAAAGGGTCTGTTCAGTTGGTGAAACAAATTTTAATGTAGGGGATCATTTAGGGGTCCTTTTATTTTAAGGGACACATAGTTATGTGAGGGGACGTTGAAATCGGGCATCACACATGTACTAGTGTTCTTACACATGTATCGGTAGTCTCACACATGTATTAACTGTCTCACACATATATTAGCTGTCTCACACATATTCTATATATAATTTTCAATTTATTTCAGGTCACTAATATTCTTAAAAAATTTTAACATATTATTATTATTATTATATATATATATAACATATTATGATATTATTATAAAAGATCAACTTTGCATTCGCAATGCTATACTGAAAAATATATTATACAGATTTTAAGTCAAAGGTTTTACCTTGCCCCTAAAACCCACATAAAAATTTTCTTTCTTGGTTTCAATTAGTTAAAAATTCACAGAGTAAAAACCCTTACACTGTACACTACATTCTACACTAAGATAAAAGCTCAGAAACTGCTTACTTCATGTGTATTTGGTATTCGTTTTTCTAAAGTTAGTTCTTCATCATCTGATCCACTTAATTCATCGTAACTATCTTCATTTATAGAACTTTTTGATTTATCAATATCAGAATTGTTAGATAACTGTAGTGGAACAGGAGGACCAATTTCTTCTTCTTGATCTTCACTAGGTGGCAAGGGACCTATTACATCGCTATGATCATCATTTTGAAATTCGCAAGAAGTCTTTGCGGCTTCTTCTAATTTTTTTTTGTTAGCTTCCTCCGCATTTCTTTTGGCTTCTTTGACCATTGCTTCTAAGTCAAAGTTTTTGGCTTTTTTCCCGAAGTTTTTAATACCCATTACTTGCTGCACATGTTGGTTTTCTAAGTCATCGGCTATTTCTTCAATCTCCCTCTGTTCTTGGATAGGAGTGCGACCAAATGTACCGAATCCTTCAGGCGATGAGGTTTGCTCGTTTGTTGATGCTTTTTCAAAATTGAGTGTGATTTTCCCAAATGATATCGGTTTCCTATTCATTGTAGTATCTTAGTTCGAAACTTTCAATAGGTAATAAGTACTGAAAGAAATCCTAATATTGTTAAACAACAATAAACAGTCCCAATTCCCAAATCCTATTTGTAATGCCAACATATTGTTATGAATCCGTCACAAACCGCTAAATCAAAGTAGCCAACATTTAGAAAACAGGATAGTGAATCTTAAGTCGATGTCGATACATTTTACTAAATATACTTACATCGTACGCTGAGAACGATAGTGACACAATGCAAAAAATGCGATTTTGAGTAATGAGCGTTTAAATTTTAAGAAATTGTAATCAGCCCCTCTATACAACGTATCATCACTACGCGACCTAGCAGTTTCTACGCAAGCTACGTTCACAGGGATCTTTGCATTTTAAAGTTTATACTTAACAAAGAAAAATGTTGCCAAAAGTAAAAAATACGTCGTTTTTAGTAAGTGACATTGTCATTCACAACGTGCAATATATTCGAAAAGTAATTATAAGTAAATTTTTATTAAAGCTATCTTATGTATATATAACATTTATATAGAAATAAAATATTCTGATTTAATAATTGCACAACAAAATCAACTTACTATTTTCAAGTAATTCTAAGTTTCTTACAATGTACAAATGACATCTTTGATTTCCAATAGATATTTATGCCTAGAACATATTATGTTATGAGTGATACTGACAAGTCATTTAACTACTTCATTTTTTTTCTGAGCATCCGACTTATATTTATTTAGTTTATTATTTAGAGAAAAGTATTTTTTTTCAATAATTACGTAAGTGATAATTTCATACAAGAAATACCGATTGATGAATATCTTATTCATCAATTTTGCATTCACGATTCTGTATTGGAAAATATTTTAAAGAATATAATAGTATCTTATTAAATATTTCCACGTTTTGATATTTACAATTTATTAAGGATATTTAAACATCAAGCAAATCATAAAGTTATTGTTAGTTGATACCCGATGGTAAAAAGGGTATAGAGAAAGACCAGGGAGCTTTAGATCACATGAGTTTATTTACCATTAAAAATATATACTTTATAAAATACAAACAGCACCGAAAATAGCTTTACGAAGAGTTACTTTCAATATATAATAACAATAGACGCGCATGTGCAAAAGAGATTGTCAAAATGTCAATATTCAAATTTAAATTAATTAAGAAGACCTTAAACCGAGAAGGTCTCCCTCAATAGTAGTTCCATATATTGTACATAAATTAACATTGAAAGTAGTTATCAATCTCTTATCTGAGTTTGTTTGCTAAATCTTCTTACTCTGATAAGACTCTCAAATTTAGAATTGTCGGTAATTGACATAAATAATTTTAAATTAATAAAAATATTATTACATTTATATCGACATTTAACCAATATTTTCGATATTTATTGTGCATCCTTATAACAGTTTGTCAGTTTGACATATGTTTTTTTGTTTATTTTATTTGACATTGACTGATTACACATTACGAAATGTTTGTGATCCTGTCTATCTTGCTTTCGTTTAATTAAAATAAAGATTGTTTGTTTTCGATCCCAAAAGGTTTTACAAAGGTCAGAAACGTTTACTTATATATATTCGGTATTAAATTTTTTGCTAGTTTCTTTTCGTGTCCTTATTACATATTTGAAGCATGTTTTAATAATTACTACGGGTAGTTGAACAACATTTTTTTTTTCACTTTTTACATACATACCATCCTAATCTACAAAATAGACGAGTAACGTACGAACCTAGCTACTGAAACTAGAAATATGTCATCAGTTATTTGTAATGGTTATTGTAGGACATAATTTTTGGTAATAAAGTGTGGCCTGAATGCCTTAGTGTGAAAAATCGCCGGCACGTTTCTTCAACAAATTCATAGTAATGTTTTTCATTCTACCCAGCAAGGCGATAGCAGGCGGTCGCATTTCAGACATGTTCTCTTTATTCCTTTGTCTAAGTTTGGGTTTCGCATTTGGATATGTGGATAAAGGTATGTGATCGTTATTTCATAAGTAAAAATAATTGAAATAGTTTAAATAAGTATATTGATGACAATTATTTTGTCATAAATTCATTATATTGTCGTTAAATATCATATTATATTGAATACTTACTTATTTCAATTATGTAAACAAATAATTTAACAGAGTCAAACTTATTATTACTAGTCAATCAATGCAACAATAAATGGGTGTTTGATATTAAATTATTTCACCTGCAGCATGTATTGTTTCTGAATAATATAAAAAGCTGTTTACCAAAAATATATATGAGTACAAAAATATATATATAAAACTTTTTTCAGAATCACCTCCAAAATGGAGTCCTGTTTATACAGTCAAAGGACTTCTGAACATTCCATATGCTGAGATTCATGAACCATTTTATGCTTGGTAAGATAATAGCTATAAATTATCCTAATTTAGAAGCTGGAAACCAAACACCTAGCTAGTAACAAACCAAAATTGATCTTTAGAACAGGATAATTTGATATTTATTCTAAGAAAAAATCTTCATATTTGGATATAAGATGTTTGTATTGAAAATTAAAAATATTAATTGATTTGCAGTATAGTAATGAGTCATTGATTTGCAGCATTGATATTGTTTTTTTATACTTTATTGGTTAACACTTGACATAGAGGAGTATTTAAAGTATAGTATTCTGAATGCAATATTCATCATTTTGAAGAAAAAAATGACTTTTTATATTCCACTGTATCTAATACAATATTCACACTGCCCTAAAGGAATAACCATAAAAATTTTGACTGTCAGAGAATGCCTAGGCATTAAGTTGCCTTTGTACATTAGTGCACAAAATTTTAAATACTAATGTATAAAATAATAAAGGAACTTTTTAAATTTTGGAAAAACAAAGTAAAACACATAAAAACACCCAAAAATAGGTAATTAATTTAAAAGTTATTTTTCATAGATACAAATGTCTATCTATACTTTTACCACAGTGAAAATAAGTTAGTGTGTTATGATGATCTCTGGTAACAGGGACCTATAGGGTATTTGGAAAATCCATTTGCCATTTGAATGGTACATTATCCCAATATGGCCACTTTACATCTGGGTCTGTCTCAACATTTTTTATTATCTTTTCAAGGTAATTTTTTGCTGCTCATAGCTTAATAAGGCATTCTTTCATTACATTTTTTAAATTGTCATGCTGCCTGCCTGGTTATTAGATTAGAAATCACTTTAAATAAACTATAGCAGATATCCATTTATTAGGTTTGCAAAATATATTTCTAAATTATCAGATATGTGTGTATGTATAGATATACTAATATTGTACAGAGGGAAAAATATTTTTTTTATTTGTTTTCATTGATTAGGACTAATTTTTAAAATTCTTTCACCTGCGGGAAGATACAACATATGATACGCAGTTGATATAATTTACGTGGGCGAAATTGCAGGAAAACGCTAATGTATATATACTATTAAAGGGTTTTATTTACTAATTTTACAATGAACTGATGGATCAAGTTATTGTGTCTGTATGTTTACACTTTATCAGTACACTAACCTTAGTGACCTTTGATAAAGTTTAATTTGGGAAAACAAACTGTGTTCTTTTCTTTGCTTTAAAATATTAATCGTAAAATATGTCACTGTGTTGTTTAATGTATATCTAATGATAATTGGTAATATGCACATTTTTTTATATATTATAAGATAATAATTTGTATATCGTTAAATAATTGTAAAAAATACCTGCCATTGAAAAACTTTAAAATGGACAGAACTAAAATTACGGGATTTTAAAACGCCTGAATATTTGGGTGCGTTTTGTGTGACGTCATTGTCTACGACTAGTGATATGAAATTTTAAATCAATATCGATTTTGAGCAACGACTAAAACTAATCAATTTTTATAAAAAAATTTTTTTTTGTTTCAAATGTTCATTTAGTTCATCAAATTAGTCAAAGAAAATCTTTCATCTATATCTTCACACCGCATCCCTTCCTCGGCTTCTGTAACTTTTACTTTCGCGTTGTACAAGTATATAATTTGTTCATCCGGCATTCGTTCCACTTGTCCGAAGCAAAAGAGCGTTTTCATGTTGTTCTTTACACCGACACCGTCTTTCTTGTCAACTCTCTTTTTAAACTTTTTATTACGAATGCGATCTGCGAGCGTTACTCTTAAAAGTCTACGTAACGAACGCATTTCGACTGCATTTATGCGTAGCGAAAGTTGTTGAATGAAGCGACCTTTATGTGTTGTCGCAAAGTTCTAAAATAGACAAAAAATTCTTATTAATTATAATTTTTGCTAAATAAAAATTAATATATATAATTTTGATTCTTAATTAAGTTTCTGAAGAAAATTTTTTATCGATAAAATAACATAATAATTATACATATGTAATCACCATAAACTGTAACAAATTTATCTGTTGCTAACAACGACTTCTATGTTTAAATAGAAGGTTTGGTTGATAAAGTAGAATAAATCATACTAATTAGTTTAGCTATTCGATAATAGATGCCGATTGGTTCACATTGATTGTTAATTGTACCTACAGTGATTGGTTTGCTATAATAATGAAAATAAATTAAAATGGCTTTTATGCTTTGACTATATCCTTAATATTATTACACAGGCTTAGTTTTGTTTAGATGTACTTAAAAACAAGTTTTTTTATTTATGCATCAGCAATCGTAATTTTTTGGTCTTATCATTTTTTGATTTGCTAGAATATTATTAATTTTATAAGGCCAAGTTTCCAGAAGACAATTAGCTGGCAAACAAATGATTTCTTTGCATCGTGAGGATTTTATTTTCTCATTAATATCGACTCTCTAGTCAAACGCTTTTGTGGGGTCAAAGTCGTCGATGGCATAGTTCTCTTCTTTAAATATTTAGAGGCCGGTGACATAAAATCTATTTATAATAATATAGAAATCGCAGTATAGAACCTTAGACTTGGCTTGGATTTGCTTGGAATTTTTTTTTATATAGAAACGAGCAGTTTCATGGATAAATGACTAGGTTTTCATAAGATGTTTTGGTGGGTGTACAATTACATTTTGGGCACAAATATTAATATAACAATTGCTTTTTAAATACATTATCAATGTCATTTGTAGCAGTAGCAGTAGATACTCTCGCTACTTTAATAAACATTTAAAGTTATATAAATACTAGTTGTCAAGGTAAATAAATCAGTTGATTGAAGGTCGTTATGCAGTATTTTTATATCCAAATTATTATTTTTGAATAATCTAGTAATGCTTGCGTGATTCGTTTGATCTGCGTTCGCACTTATCACACTATGTAGGAACATGAAACGCGAATGTGCGGTAAGCCTTATGCTCGCGAAATACTCACAGATAAAGTTTTTGTCGCATACAGCCGTCGCGGAAAAGATAGAATTTCGTACGTTGACCTTTGAATTCCTGATAGATTTTGTAAACAATTTATTTACTTTATTTATTTATTTACAAATGTTAAATACATCTTTGCGAGCGCAATAGTATTGTTTTCGTACGAGTGAAGAGATATGTGATATTGTATGAAATGATTTCTGTTAGGTGACCGAGCTATACTACTTCCGTGAGGCACTTGATTGATCTTGCGTCAGATTCTCACCAGGGTTGGTATTTACTATGAAACAAAGATCTCATAGATAAACAAAATATTACATAATGAATTTCACGTGACCATCTCCAACGTAGGTGTAAAGTAATTCATGTGTAATAATTACGAATATGACATACAAACTTTCATAACGACTGACAGTTTACATACTTTTTTTTATTATGGCCTTGTTCCGTTATACACAGAAATTCTGCCAACATACATACTTAAACATCGCGAATTAATGACATTAGAATTCTACGATGTATGCTAAGGTTCATATGTTTGTCTACAAAGAATTTTAAAATTGTAATCTTTGGTCTCTTTCTGCTCGTTCCATTCTGATAGACGTCCTATAATCTTAAATTGTACTTGACGTCAATAGCTAATTAAAGAGGTCATAAACAATTACCTACTAGGTTGCCCTAATCTTGAAGGGACATGTATTGAACTTTAGTAACTATGCGATTTGATAACCTTGTATAATGTTGCATTCAGAACAATTGCACCTTATGGATATTAACATAAGATTGTTATAAAGTAACATAGTTATCGTTGATAATTTGATTTATTTACGTAATTAAAACTGTTTGTAGGGAATCTTTAATCAATATGACTATAAAGTAATTAATTTTAATTGTATGTAATGCAATTATTAATAAATATAGGATAATTATATTCATCAATTATATAATCAGCTTTTTTATAATATTATCACTATACCAATTAAAACTGGTCATATATTGCTTTGGTAGATTATAGCACAGCAAGCTATAACAAAGGTTAAATTTCATCAAACGATTTCAAGCCTCTTCAAATGTGTTGATATTCGTTCAAATTTGCCCTTTTATGTAAATTCGAATGCCATATCAAAATACTCGTACAATTCAAATGCTGTTCTAATTATATTTAGAATTACATATTGTATTTTGTTTTAAATTATATTGTGAAGATAAATAATTATTCTATTATCCTTATTTACTCAAGTTTTATCTAATTATTAGTATTATTAATATAAAATGTAGGATTACTTTCCTTATATCGTAGGTTATAGATTTCGAAACTCAAATCGACTAATTAATATCTTTTAATAACAACATGGATGGTAATATGTAGGTGTAAAATGAAAACCCTTATTTTTACCAAAATAATTTATTAAATTGGGCGGCAAATTAAAAATTTTGGTCAAGTGCGAATCCTACTCGTACTTGGCTGAATAAGGATGATGACTGGTTAAAAACAGAAATTATATTCAGTCTGTCAGTCAGATAATAGAAAAAAAATGGATACGTATTTTTTCTGTTTCAATATAACAAGAAATGACATAGATTTTAGGCATTACAATTGAGGAGTGGAGGCGCCGTACGTCACAACTATGTAGAAAATGTACAAAGGTGTGACGTCATGTGTCGCCAAAATTAAAAAAAAAAGAATTAATAAAAACGTGTTTAATATTCTTAAACAATCGACCTGACGGAAAGACAAATATAAATTAGTCACAATACCTATTCTCTTTCATTTAGAGAGCTATTCAATTTTGTTTTTTTAATTATCAGGTTTGACAGTACGAATGGCAAGTCACGCATCGACTATTATGGCACCATGGTCAAAACTTATCAGCTTTCGTCTACGGTTTACCCGCAATATGGCACATCTATTAAGGTAAAATAAATATTAATATTAAGGCGACCTTATATACGATTCCTTCGCTTACCCATAGAGTTTTAAGAACAGCTATTCAATATACAAAAAATCTATGAGTACTAATGGGAGTAATGCCATGTTATAAAAAAAAAATATATATATTTAGTCCGTTAGTCAGACAATAGAAAAAGGTTTAGAATTCGTCTCACGAGAGAAGTCTCGGAGACGCGGCGCTGCTGTCAATAATCTGCAAAACTTATACTTTATGGATCCTTAAAATTTTTGTGTAAAATAAAAGTAATTACACTAACATATGTATTAAAATACGAATAAAAAAATTGACATCGTACAAATATTTGATGTAATCTGCCCAACAGACTTGTGCACGCCTTTTCGAATCGTATGAGCGAAAATAAATAAATATATACATATACATATATTTATTTTATAATTGTTTTATATATATATACAGGAATAATTTAAAACCACTGCGAAGATTTTGTGAAAATAAACTTTAAGTAATTTAAATAAACACGTATTTTTTATTTTGATATGTTCTAATACTAAAAAATAAAGTTATCGCTTATCAAAGATCGAGATTTTAAAACTTAATTTATGGACACCGCGCGCCGTGCGTCAGCTGAGCGCTCGCTCGACGCCGTAGGCATGTACTCGTAGGTACCTATCTACACGGGTCACTGAACGCTCATTTTGTTAGATTCGAACTAGATTTTATGCCATGATCTGAGGTGATTTCTAAGAGTAATTCCAATTTTCCCTTCATACTTTTATGGTTAAGGCCATCAAAATGCAAAAAAATAAAAGAGAAACAAATTCGTTACCTAGAAAAAAATATTAACGTTATGCCGAAGTTACATAGGTACTTCTGCGTTAAGGCGTATTTAAAAAAATTAGAATCAACTACGTATTTACAATAATGTTGAATCAAAACAAATACCTAACTAATTACTTACCATGTATTTTAATATTTGTTCAAAATGAAGTCCACGTCTGTCCAGACATAAACGTGCACATTTCATTAAATTGTCATTTAATTTGTTTAAAACACTAGTGTCACTTTTCACTTCACTGAAAGCGTTATTATTTTTTATTGTTAAGTCTTCTAGACTTTGTGCCTCCTCTACATCTCGGCGTTTGACTTCTTCCCATAAGAAACAGTCCCTCACTTGTGAACAATGCCTCATCCGTCTACAAGATGTTTGCATCGCGGTGATGTAGAAACTGGGTCTAGGTCATGGAACTGCTGAATCGGCTGAAAGTGGTACGGATGGAGTCCGGCTGTTTTTAGCAGCTTCAATACCGCAGACTGGCTCACACCAAAGAGATATGCCGCATCGTGGGTACTGACTCTGGGACTTCGTCTGTTAAAATGGTTCGAAGCATTAGGGACCGCGGGGTTACGGATCCCAAAGGCCCGCATACGAGGTATGCTCTTCGTCGCATACTTTCTCCGAATTGCGCTTATGTAGGTTCTCACCACTCAGAAGATAAACTCATACCATCTCGTAAAACTCACGACGGCGGGCGCGTCGCGTGCGCGGGAACGCGAGGACACGTCACATCGGCGCGTGCGTATGAGTCTCACTGTCGCGCACGTCGTTCGGTCCCGGCGGGGCGGTGGGGGCTGTGGCGGGGGGCTACCGGGCGCGGCGGGGTTGCACGGTGGCATACGCAAGAGAAGACGTTTTCATTGAAGTTTTATTTTAAAAAATGTGTCCATATTCTATCGTTTCGATAGGGATAAAAATATTTAAAAAAAAGTTTTTAACTAATTATGAAAAAGTGTTCTATTACTGATACTGAACCACCAAAAAAAATTTTTGCACTGGAAAAAAAATATTCCTGTATATATATATATATATAAAAACAATTATATAGTTTTTATCTTATAATGTTAATTGGGTTTGTTCGAGACATACAGTCACTATTGTATTTAAATTATGAAAATAAATATGACGATTTTAAAATACTCATCTTCAAAATGCTGCACATTTACCGAGGTTACACTCATTGTTGTACACAAACAACTATATTAATATGTATTGTTAAACATATTTTAAAATGTATTATTATATATGTATATTAATATAATCCCAACTTTCCCTAATAGAATGTCACATGAATTTGCCACGGGCCTCAAACGGTATAGTTACGTCACTGGCAGTAAAATGACATTTCCTTATGTGATGATTTTTTCTGTTCCCTAACATGATGCTATGTGATATTTCAACTCCAATGTATCATCGTAATTTATTGATAATGCAAAAAATACGTGATTAATGATTTTTAATAAACTACCAGATGAACAAAATAAAAATTTTTCTTCATCATCTCTAATACAAGTAGCAAATTTGAAATGGCAAATCTATTTTAGTACAGTTAATAGCACGCCTGGTTAACAAGAGAATTAGGGGTAATAGTTTAATATTAAAATCTACTGCAATTCCTTTCAATTTTACATTTGAATAGCGATTGATAGTTTTATTTGCAAGATATTGTAGTGTGTACATCGTCAACCTCATTATAAATAATGTGTTTAGTATAATAAAGACAGTCAAAACGCAACATTTGTCTAATTCACACGTACTCCCAGGTCCCCACATTGCATGGCGACCCTGCCAGTGCTGCCCGTAGGCAGCGCTGCGTAACTGGTTTTTTTTTTATATAAAGAAGTGCGCGCGTGCGTTGTTATATATAATAAATACATAATATACAAAACAATAATATAAAAGAATAACACGAACAATATGAACAAAGTGAAAAATATAAAACATGAATAATTTATAATTTTAAATAAAGTTATCTGTCGAATGCTGAAATAAATAAGACAAATAATTGGTCAAAATATATTGACACGAAGAATATATAAGAAATATGTGGTGAATTGATAGCTGGGAGCCGGGAGATGAAGGAGTCGGATGAGGAGCAGCTGGGAGAAGTTCCGGTCATTGGGACAATGGATAAATGGACTGGCAAGAAAAAATCATAAATCAAAATATTGTTCCTATCATGGTTTAAATTAGAATTCCTATTTTAACGAATAGTCAATATTATCATCTTGTTTATTTGTATTTTAATGTTATTGCATTAAAATAAGGATTTTTTTCTCAGTGTAATATTTTATCAATATTAGCATTAAATAATATTTTTTAAATAAAGTAAGTCTCTGTCATTTATATTTCGGTACATTTTTGTGGTTTTCAGATGCACTTATAACAGCTTAGCATAGATATTATTATCGTAAATTTTGTTATTATTATTTTAAGAAAAATAAATGCGTTTGATGATTTTTTATTCTTTGGCATTTAATTATGAAATAAAAATAACTATACTATGAAACAAAATAGATATATATATATATATATATATATTACATGATGTTTTTACATACGTCTGATAAACTTGTATACATATTGTTAAACATTTTGTCTAAAATTTGCTGAATTAAAGTTTACTTGTTTCATTAAGAACTATGAACAGAAACCGTATTGTTTTAATCTGTAAAAAAAATGTATTTTAAAAGTATTTTTTTCCTTTTCAACGGGGGAGGTGTAGTGTGTACATCGTCAACCTCATTATAAATAATGTGTTTAGTATAATAAAGACAGTCAAAACGCAACATTTGTCTAATTCACACGTACTCCCAGGTCCCCACATTGCAATATCAAATAAAAGATATCGTTAGTTTAATGCTAAATTGAATTGTCTAAGGCAAAAGTTAAACGCAAATATCTTTGAAAGATATTGGGAAATTTCAAACGAAATGCTATCTGCAACCTTTAGGGTATATACACACATACACAAGTTTTTATTATGTTCCATCATCATTTGTTCGAAAACCGATCGATACTTCAAAAGTTATATTATCCCACAAACGGCTATAAGAATCGCCATACTTTTAAAATGTATCGCGATAAATTTTAAATCATTAGATGATGGAAGAAAAAACAAGAAAGAGATAACTATTTCGGTCCATGGCCCTTTTAGCTCTAGGGTAAATACATTTATTTATTTGTTAACAGATTGCCCCCGTGACAACAGAGCAAGTGATGAATCAACAGACTTGTCTACAGGTTAACGGCAGTGCCGATATGTCTATCAATATTCAAACTGTCTTGCCTGATATGGATGATTTCAAGTATATCGGTGAGTATATAGTACAAACAGTTGAATTGAATTCTGTAATCGATTTTCAAACTCATAATCATACAGTTTAGGTCCACTATAACCGGAAATATTTTAGTGGGAAACTGCCTGCCTAAGCCCCAAAAATAGTTAGTGATTTATCAGTGACAAGACACGGATTTTTTGACCAACATAGATGACCAATATTTTTTTTAATAATATTAATAAGTGAACAGGTATTGGATATGTTTGTGGTCTCTGCCTACCCCTCGAGGAGAAAGGCACGATTAATATGTATGTATTCTCATTTTAATATTAGACAACATCACATACATTGCTCAGATTCCAAGATGAGTAGCTAAATCTCCCGTATTATGGAGTATCTGAGACAATGAAAGCCTCGCAACAACCAGACCCGAGACAATCCATTTTCTACATTTACCCGACCGGTTAGCGAACGATATATGATGTATGAAGATTTCCGTAGCCGAATGGTTCGCACACCGTTTCAGGGTGTCGCTATATCTGAGTTCCCAGCACGTGTAGCATGACTAACTCGAGAAACACTTTGCCTACACCCAAATGTCACTTTCTCGGGTCGAGAGTGAAATGTTTTATGAGCGCACCCGAGAAAAGTGACATTAGGGTGTAGACAAAACTTTCTCGAGTTCGTCATGCTACGCGTGCTGGGAACTCAGATATAGCGACACCCTGAAACGGCGTGCGAACCATTCGGCTACGGAAATCTTCATACATCATATATCGTCAACATGATGTATGAAGATTTAACACTAATTTTTTACTATTTTTTGGTGATTGTAACGACTGTGTTATTTTAAGTCTAATCACAAAGTTTAGGTAAACAAAGATTTACTTATTCCAACATTAACATAATTTTTTTATTGTATTTAAGTGTTGTTCCGAATTATGGGGCAGATGTCCCGGAAAGAATATAGTCCTAGGAAGTCTCCGTTTCTTGTCTCTGTTCTTTGAAGCTTAGGCTAATAAAGCACACCTATTCACTATTTTTTCTTTTTTAATAATTGATATATAAAAAAAGCTTGTCAAATAACCATACCAATTCTAATAGTTTAAAAGAATACGCACAATATACTTATATATATTTATTTTAATAATAGGTTCTCAATAAAAAGCTTATTTATATGATGTAGCTTGAAGATTTTAAATTAGCGTCCTCGCCATTTTGTAAACAGGTACAGAAACAATGGAGGACTCGGATACGTCAAAATGGCGGATGGTGCAAACAATTGGTGATAAAATAAACAAGTACACAATGTGGGTGAAATACAGGAAAAGTTTGAAGGGCGACTCTATACCTATACCTGTGAGGTAAGATCAGTGTGATAATAAATAATAGATAATATGACATATTCGTATCGGATCAGATGTGTTCAATGGTGCAATGGTTAAAGCAACTTTATAGGTAGGATGGGTGATCAAAATATTTTTTTCTTCGGCTTCGGAAGCTGTCAGAACCCCCAAAAGCAGTATTTATTTTATTTGTCGTTATATCTGAATAGTTACCGACTAGGGCCGGCTGCTAAAGATGCTGTTTTCTATACTAGACAGTGACTATTGCAGTCAGTTTACTAAACTAGTCGGCGATAATCCGGCTGTCTCGACTAGTCAGTGACTCTTCGGCTTTTCCTACTAGCAAGCGTCTAGTCGGCTTGTATGACTAGCCAGCGACTGATCCGTTTTATGACCATCTAGCCGGTTGTCATTTTTGCTACTAGCCAACGACTGTTCGGCTTTTATGACTAGCTAGCGACAGGTCAGCTTTTACCATTAGCCAACCACTACTCGGCTTTTACGACTAGCCAGCGATAGATCAGCTTTTACGGCTAGCCAGCGACAGGTCAGCTTTTACCACTAGCCAGTCATAGGTCAGTTTTTACCACCAGCCAACGACTGTTCGGCTTTGATGACTAGCTAGCGACAGGTCAGCTTTTACCACTAGCCAACCACTACTCGGCTTTTACGGCTAGCCAGCGATAGGTCAGATTTTACCACTAGCCAGTCATAGGTCAGTTTTTACCACTAGCCAACGACTGTTCGGCTTTTACGACTAGCTAGCGACAGGTCGGCTTTTACGACTAGACAGAGACTTTTGGTAATAAATTTCCAATATTGTTATTTAGGTATGAAATGAAGGGCTTCAACTCGCTCCTCGGCTCTCACTACGACCACTACTACCTAGACTACAAAGATTATGATGTTGACGACATCGATCCCAACGTATTCAAAGTCGATTCTGGTAAGACTTTTTGTTCATTTGCTGTACTACACTAGTTAAGTGATATTTGAATACTTTATCTATTAACCAAGAGACAGCTGTAACACCATAAATATCTAGATTTAACTAGCTTTTAGAAAAAAAAAAATGTGTTATCGATTTATCCGATTTAGCTTCATCTCTACTAGCAGTGTCCGTTCCCGAGCATGACGCTGTTGTTGAATTACGATTGTATTTTATCAGGCATGGTGTGCACATCGTTCCCTGGCCCCGGAGCTCGTCACTACGCCACCTTCAATCCCATGAAGGAATTCGTCCATCCTGCACACGACGATCATGTTCACAATGAGTTTGACAGGTTACAAGTTTACCATTTATCTACACTACTATACATAGTATAAAAGTCGCCTCTCGCTGTCTGTACGCTGAGTTCTTTTAAACTTCACAACGGATTTTAATGCGGTTCGGTTAAGATTTATATGCATAATACAGGACCACGCGGGCGAACCCGCTGGCGGAAAGCTTGTTATAAATAATAATTAATATTTTATAACATCACATTCATTACTCAGATTTCAAGAAGAGTAGTAAAACCACTCATTATAGAGTATTTTTAACAACGAAGGTACCGCGCAAACAGTAGAGAAAAGTTGTATTTTCTACATTGACCAATTTTTATCGGGAATCGTACACGAAACCCCGGGCTATTTCACAGCAAGCTTATATGAAATAGTTAATGAATTATTCGTATTATAATAAAGTTCATTTTCCTTCGCAGATTTAAAATGAAACACAATAAGCAGTACGTCAACGATGTGGAACATACACGACGCTTGAATATTTTCAGACAGAATTTGAGGTAAGTTGAAAACTTATACCGTTTTATTATAAAACGAGAACTAAAGTTGGTATTTGGTTTAAACCATTGGCCGCCTAAAGCAAATTGACAATCACAGAAGAGAAACAGAAGACAGAACGTTATAATAGCTGTCGAAATTCAAGATAATTGTGAAGCTTATTTAAAAATTAAAGCTTATTTGAAGCTTATAAATTTTTTATAGTTGGACTCTTAAATATGGAAGGAAATAAATCAAAAATATAATTGTGAATGTGCATTTAACCTTATGACGAAAGAATATTTTTCCGTAGTAGATGAAACAAAACGTAGCAAAATGCTATTGGGTCCGAATCGCATTCGGGTAGTATCATAGTACTATTTAACAATAATTATCAGTCTCGCAATTTTTATCTTGATTTTATTTTAAGATTTCATTTCCTTATATGAAGTACGTAAAAAATAAGCTATATTTTTGGATATATCACATTACGAGATGCGTTAGTAGATTTTTAGGTCAAATATGTTTATTTAGTATACAGATAATTTTAAGCCCGAAATAATAGATTACTTTTTAGCTTACTAATTATTATTAATTAGGTAATTTATTTAATTTTTGTAGGATATATTATTGTGTACCCCCCCCCCCCCCCCCCCCTCTTATCTTATAGTTTGTTTGGAAGAGATATTTATGTAGTGATAAGACCGAAGTTTTATTTTATTTTTGTTGCTTTCTCTGATGATGTTTTGGTGTTTGCAATAAAATATTATCTATCTATCTATATAATCGGTTTCGTAGGAAGTATTCGAGCTAGTATGTTTATTACATGTTCCATGATTTAGGTACATCCATTCGAACAATCGCGCTCGTCGCGGTTTCACGTTGTCGGTGAATCATCTCGCTGATCGTACTGATGATGAGATTGCGGCGTTACGTGGCCGACGGTACAGCGGCCCTAACCAAGGTAATTGAACGAATGACCGAACGCGGGTATGAATGAATGAACGAATAGTGTATTCGTATAAAAATGGAAAGGACAAAAAAAATGTTTTTTATAATATGTTATTTAAACTAAAACTTAATAACTAGGAAGGCGATCAACACGTCCAAGAATATTATAAGGTTCCGTACTCGAAGGGTAAAATTGGACCATATTACTAAGTAGTACTAATTTTCACGGATGATGTATTTCTGACGCTGATATAACAACAAATACTAATGGGAAGATTTTATTGGTAAAATTTGAATGGGTCCCGACTATGAGTCGTTCTGTTCTGCATTAGAATTTATGATTTGTTTTATGTGTGTATCGATTATAAAACTATTTCAATTGTTTAGTTATTTAGTATTATTATTACTTAACAGAATTCTTAACTACTGGGCTTGTTTCTTCTTTTTAGTTTTTATTTAATAAATATTTTACATGTATTTTTTTAAATTCGTTTTTACGCAGTCGGGTTTTTGTTTTTCTTTGAATTATTTATTTTTATTTTATACTTTTTAGTTACGATTCGTTGATTTCGTTATAAGATGGTAAATTTCGCAATCTAGTCATTTCATTGAGGGCGTTATTATCGCCTGTTAAACAACTTTAAATCGTTATATATTCAATTATTTAAAATGAAAATGATAAAAGTAACCTAAAGATGATTTTAAAATACCTATTCAACGACACCCCACTTGACATAGTTCATCGATTTTTGTTTTCATTTTGGCAATATGGCGTCTGGTTGTCGCTGTGGGCAATTTTGATAACTGTCATGTCTTTAGTGACACTCGCAAGGTTCAGACGAATCGATTGACGTAAAAATCATCAAAATCAGCCTACGCATTTGGTAGGCCGATTTTGGCTCTAGAACGCCACATAGAAACATACATACATATACTGATAAACACATTATCCTCCTTTGCGTCGCGCAGTCGGGTAAAAAGAGTAGATAGGTTACTTGCGTTCGAACAGTGGGACCATGAAACTGAGCTATACAGATTGAGTGCAACATATTCTGTCTGTTGCTAGTAGTATTATCTCGCTCACTCGTTACAACATTAATATATTCGTCACATGCGGCCATATGAAGTCGTATACTCGAGATGCCGAGTTAACCTCGACCGAGTGGCATCGTATTATGTATCGTATCATATGTTGGGGACAATTCTTGACATCGTATTAGTACATAACTTATCTTCTTTTTTTGTAAGATTTAATCAAAATTTAATTTAATCAAAAGATTTAATTTAATCAAAAATAGATAACGAGGGTATATATACATTCTACATCTAATGGAACACTGGCGATCTACATTTTAAAATCATATCAGATGCAGCGAGTGTAGAACTGATATGCGTATTTAGTATTTATTGGTTCTGTCAATCGACAGTCTTTCATGTTTAAATTTACATTTGACAGGTCTTCGTTTTCCATACTCGGAGGCAGTCATTGAGGAGATCAGCCCTAAATTGCCAGTGGAACACGACTGGAGGATCTTTGGCGCGGTGACTCCAGTTAAAGGTTATTTGAATATATTTTATTGATAATTCCCTTAAGGCACTCTTGTAGCTCTGCTTACGTTCTCATAGAAATACGCATCGAGTGTAAAGACACGCTCGTTTGATTTCATACATTTTTAATCACAGAAAAAGCAAATACAGCTCTAAAAAAATCTTTTGATCATTTTGGATTTCTGTCTTTTTTTCATTTTTAAAAACAGAAACATATATTAGGATAGGCAATATTAGGATAGCCTAAGAATAAAATTGGTTTAAAAAGTGGTAGTTTCGTACGACCTTCCCTAATATCCAATTCTCGTTTCGCTGAATGAAATGTCACTATTCGATTAGATTATGAATGAAATATCGTTATTCGATCGCGAAAGTATAAATTATGATTGTATTTATAATAAACTAGCTTTCCGCTAGCGGCTTCGCCCGCGTGTTCTTGTATTATACATAAAATCCTTCCTTTTGAATCACCCTATCTATGAAAGAAAACCGCATCAATATCCGTTGCGTAGTTTTAATGATTTAAGCATACATAGGGATATAGGGTCAGAGAAAGCGACTTTGTTTTATACTATGTAGTGATATCATAATATTTTTTACTTGGGCAAGTATCGGATAGCTCAATAGGGATGATGACTAATTTTTGTTTGTTTGTCCGTCAGGTAGAGTGTTAAAAAATATTAAACAAGTATTTTTTTATTTTTTTCGTAATCATAAAATTACGGCGTTGTATGGAGTTGAAATTTCACATGACGTCACGTTAGGGTACGTTTTCTACTCAACTGTGACGTAGCGAGCCCCCACTCCTCAACTTTAATGCCTGTTATCTAAGCTATTTCTTGTTAAAATGAAGTAAAAAAAAAATACGTATCTAATATTTTTCTATTATCTGACTGACGGACTAAATAGAATTGCATTTTTTTTACCCAGTCATCATCCCTATTGTTAGAGCAGTCGCCGGTTTGCGTAAGGATGTATTTTTAATGCTATTATATCTGAGGTTGGTGGATTATTTAGCCTTTTTTATAAACGATATTTATCGGTATAGCATTTTTAATTCAATAAATTTATCAAATATAATAACTATTATTTTACAGTGTTGTTATTATATCTCATGTTAATATGTAGTAGTATATGTATTTACTTTTATAAATGTTCTTCATCCTTTTTTTCTTTTATATACTAGCCCGCAGTTTCTTTACTGAATTGGTATAATTTCTCTTAGCCAAGGGTAGGCTGGTGGAAATTGCCACTCTAGCAATAAGGCCCCATTTTTCGTCTATTTTACTTGTTATGTGTGTTTATATGTCAATGTTTAATGTTCGCAATGAAGTATACATTCATTTATTATTTGTAGATCAGTCTGTGTGCGGTTCTTGTTGGTCTTTCGGTACTGTGGGTACAGTGGAGGGGGCATTATTTTTACACAACGGTGGACATTTAGTACGGCTCAGTCAACAAGCACTTATTGATTGTTCTTGGGGGTGAGTATTAAAAAAATAATTTAAATTTAGAATTAAAGTACCACACGATGTATAGCTTGGTGGTGGATAAGCACCAACCCTGCGATCGTCGCAAAGGTCGGTCACGGGATGGGTGATCAAAAAATCATTATTTCGAGGTACTCCGTGCTTCGGAGGTTAAGCCGTTGGTCCTAGACGCATTTGCAGTTGTTAATACCTCTAATTCGCAAAGAGTCAGCGTAGAGGGTGGCCCATCCTTTATATAAGGAAGGTCTGAGCCCTTGCATTGGAAAGGGCTGATGGTGACAACACACACAAATATATCAAGAAGGAATTAAATATTTTAATTCAAACACAATACAAATACAAAACTTTCTACGTAATATTGGTGTTTGCCTCGTTGTTGTAAGAGTCTACTTTGTCGGCCTCGATCTCTCTTTTATTTACATTGAAATAAACATAGATATTAAGATTTTGAATAATTAAATCACATGCTTATGTTATTGTCTTAAAATTTAAAGTCGAGTTTTTTTTGTTTTTGTATATCACTCGAAACACGACCCCCCCATGGTGTGACGTCACTCCGGAAGAAACATTTCTACATCTCTCTGAAAACTCGTAAATAGATGCCTATTTATAAAAAAATTACATTCCTAGATGGTACTGTTTTAATCTTTTTATTTTGTAGTCATATGTAATAATAATAATAATAATTTATTTAAAACTAGGAGATTCTGTAACGTGAGCAAATAAATTCTACCAAAAAGTGTAGATATCGTGCTGTATATAATAGTACTGTTCATGCTGATTGACACTTTTAGTCTAATAAATAATATACTCTATGCATTTTGTGTACACATCAGAATGACGTCATGAATATTACCATATTTATGACGTCATTCCTATGTGCCCACCGAGAGCGTTTTCTCGGGTATAAATAGTATTTTATGGCAAGAAAACGTGTAAAAAGGTCATGAATTATTTATGCCTTATTTAAATTATAATAAGTATTTAAAAGTATTTTTTAAACATTGCAATGAAGATTCTACTTTAACATGGTTATTTCAACATTAGGGATGATGACTGGCAAAAAAAAAAAATAGATTTTATTTAGTCCGTCAGTCATATAATAGAAAAATATTAATAACATTTCTTTTTTTACTTCAATTCAACAAGAAATAGCTTAGATATGAGACATGAAAGTTGAGGAATGGGAGCTCGCTACATCACAGTTTTGTAGAAAATCTACAAAAGCGTGACGTCATGTGACATTTCAACTCCATGTATTTTGTAATCTAACGATTACGCAAAAAATAAATGAGTAATAAATATTTTTCAACAATCTGCCCGATGGACAAAAGAAACAAACGAAAATTTTGTCGTCATCCATGTTAAATGTAATTATGTTTTTATTAATTCCATTAGCTTTGGAAATAATGGCTGTGACGGCGGCGAAGATTTCAGATCTTACCAGTGGATCATGAAACATGGTTTGCCCACCGAAGAGGACTACGGCGGTTACTTGGGACAGGTATGAAGTTTGAATAAAAAATAGTGTAAATTTTTACCTGATTTTTTTTTGTATATACTGTTTTGTATGTATACCACAAAGTTGTGACAAAGTGTTTATAAATTAGTAAGAAATATTTTTAGAGTCGGTGTCCTTTTATTGATACAATTCGTTGTTTATAAACAAAAGGGCCACAAATTTAAATTGACCAACATCAGTTTTATTAAAAATTAATTTGTATAATATAATATATGCATACGGACGCATACATAAATTTTTAATTATAAGAAAAATTATTGGTGTTTTTGTGAAATAGGGAAATACTGGCGAATCTGGTCACATATTTCAATGAAATTGATTTTAGCCAATTTTAGTTTATTATGACCTTTTTGTTTATAAGCAGCGAAATATGTTTAAATTGAAATTGTGAAAAAATTAACATTATTTTTTTTCATTTATCGAAAAAGAAATGTAATTTCGCTAAAAATAATCCTCATGTACTGACAAGATCTTTAATGCTCTCTGTCATGTTAACAGTTATTTAAAAAAATTGTTGCCTTAACCCTTCGACGACAGTAGGGATAAAAACGTCTGTAAAAAAGATACCGTTTACTATAATGGTTTTTTTTCCGTTTATTTTTATTTTATTTAACTTGAGTTATATTTATTATCAATTCATATAATGATCTATTCAAGGTATATATTTGACATTTGAAACATAAACACTTTTACAACAGGATGGCTACTGTCACGTGGATAATGTGACTCTCGTCACCTCCATCAAGGGATGGGTTAATGTCACAACTAATAATGAAAACGCTCTGAGGGTGAGTAGTGTAACCTGCTGATGTTATAAATGTGAAAGTTTTATATTCAAGACCTCAAACGTGATGACATTTTGAAATTAGTATGAGCCATTCCTCCACGGAGCTGGACGTAAATTTTTCAGTAAATAGAGTAGTCTCTGTCAAAAATAAACTAAATTATGTAACTTATTAAAATTTATGTTGAAATAAAGACATTCTGGTTTGGAATCATAAATCGACATGATTCCTTTATTCAATTAAAAGCCACGTTCTTAATTTTGTAGGTGCCATTTTAAAATTTCAAGTCATGTGATATATTGCATATCGTGTATACCGGCTATTTACTTTAAAATTATCTAGTATTCGTTGTTTCTGTTCTGTGTATCTGTCAGATACAGAAGGTCGCGAACAACTACCTATTTGTTTTATAATAGATCGCTAGATGGCGTTGTTCTTGTCTAGTTATATATTTTTTATCTATTAAATGTGGACGTCATGAATATTTTTGATAGCGTCTTTATGGTATCAAACATTATTATGTATCATAAAATGTTAAATTTCCTTTCATTTGAAAATTCAATTTAAAGGTTTAAAATCAAGTGGAGAAATTTGAGAGTTTTGTATAATTTGACGTGCTGTTGACTGCATAATACTCTCCACTATTGAAATGTTTTCTATGTTATTTCTAATATTTATCAATATTAACTCAACCATAGGTTCTATAGAAAATTTAATAAAAAAAAAATACCGAATAAATAATTAAATATATTTATTAAATTGTTAATTTCAGCTCGCCATTTTCAAACACGGCCCAATATCTGTGGCTATAGATGCATCGCAGAAGACCTTTAGTTTTTATTCCAACGGCGTCTACTACGATCCTAAATGGTAAGAAAACGCCATTTTGTTTTTAAAGAATATTAATAGCAAATTAAAAATAAGTTTTAAGCTATTAGAACAATTTTGATACAGCAACTGAACACAAATCCGAGGCTTATTGATACAAGAACAGAGTGTAAAAAATATTGAATACAATTAATAAATTCCAGATTTCAAATAATTTGATTATTCAAGAGTCGCGTGACTAAAGTATACAAATTAAAAATTTACGTCATCGTTCAAAATTACAGCACAGAATGCCAATTATATGGCAACATAGAAAATAGGCACGTGGGTAATTTTGGAAAATAATCGATTTACATCAAAGGCACGAAAATCGATTTTCGGTTAACTGTGACATTTTCAAACTCGTGCAAGAGAAAATAATAGCAGCCAGAATTTATTTGAAGTGAACTTATAAATTAATTTATTTATTGTTTTATTTCCTCTAAACAGTAAGAACAAAGTCGACGAGTTAGATCACGCAGTTCTTGCAGTCGGCTATGGTATACTCAACGGCCAGAAGTACTGGCTCATCAAGAATTCATGGTCCAACTTGTGGGGTAACGATGGCTACATCCTCATGTCTTCTAAAGACAACAATTGTGGCGTGGAAACTGCTCCCACTTACGTCTTAATATAAGATTTTATTATGACAAAATAGACTGCATTCATATAAACTCACGAAAACCTTTTTAGCTATGACGAGAGTTTTATTTCAAAAGGCCATGGTTTTAACATCAAAATGATCATTGAGAGAATGTTCTAAACTTACCCATTACGTTTAGAGCGGTCGAGTTAATTGAGACAATGGTTTAAGCAAAACACAACTGTGTTTACCGGTTAATACAGAAAAAAATAGTAGTAACCGGTCCAGGAATCTTATAAGTTTGTAAGTGTATAGTTTATACACAAATGTATTTTTATTAGGAGCAAAATATTTTTTGTAATGTCATGTCATGTCTCAATAAAAAGTTTAGGTGAATGTAGTCTATCTAAATATTATGCATATGTAGGTTATTTGATTACATAACATTATTAACGGGAATATGTGTACATTTTGAATTTTATAGATTTTTAGTGTTTTTTTCTCATGGACAACTTACATTTTGTTTTAAAATTAAAAATATTTATCACAAAACTTACTTACTAGTTTTCCCATTGAACTTAAAGTTTTTTACTATTTTATTTGAGCACTATATACTGATTATTCGGTATATATATTTTTAAATAAAAATAAAAAATCGTAAGTAGTTCATGAGTTTGGGATGCAAGTGAGTTAATTTCGAATAGTATTTCGTTTCAAAGAAGGCACTGATGTGCTATTGAAAAGTTTAAAATAGAGTTTAATAAGTTTACATTGTAGATAATCTACGTAGGGAATTATTTTTCATGTTATATAAAAGAGATCTGTTAATATTACATAATTACGCCGTTATTTTTAATAGCAGGTTTTGTTAAAGTGGCGGTTAAGATATTGGCTGTGCAATGCATTCCTTTGCTCTCTTATATATATTAAGAATAATAAGGTACCTATTCTAGATGTTTATTTAGTACACCTGATAGAAAACGTAATTGAAATTCTGTTCCTTTTTTAAACTGGAAACAGAAATAATTGGGAATTTGAGTTTTAATATTCTTGTTCACTGTATTAATTGCTGTATTTATATATTTGTATTTATATTTATATAATAAATAGAAAAATAACAAGTCTTCTACAGATTATTGGTATTAACCATTAACCGGTTTGTACCGGTAATCATTCATAAAAATAATTATATTTGCATAACGTGTTCCTGCAAACAATATGTATTAATATTTTTGGTAAAAAAATCTATATTTTAATTTAATGTATAATTTCATCAAAATTTTTAGATCTGACTGTGTAAGTTCGGGAATAAAGTAAAAATATATATAGACTATTTAGTTGTGTTAATATATTTGCCGTTTAAAAAAAATATGCAGTGTCACCTGAGTAGGTACCATAGAATTTGGTAAGTTTAAAATAAAAAACTATTTTAAAATATTTGTTTCAATGCGGCATTGGATGAACGCAGATGTTTCCCCATTGCATCAGATTCCCTTTGCATCTGTCCTGGTATATTTCTTTGTCGTACTGGAGAAAAGAAACTAATATTAGTTATTAATTTTAATATTGAGCATACAGTATTTGATAATGTGTCACTAGCAACTCTACAAATTAGTCAACATTGTGGCGATTTGATTGGCCAATATGTTAGCGAACAAGTGGACATGACGTCTGCCAAAGCAAATTGAAGGCACAGACACAAACACAATTCTATCTTTGTCATCATTTTGATCCATATACGGCCATGACATGACATGTAGTTGAGAAAACAATATAGTGTTCGCCAGTTTTTACTTTTTTGACGAAGGAGATTGTTTTAATACTGAAAGGCGCTCGTAGGCTCCTAACAAGCTTACGGAAAGGCTCTCCCAGCATACGGACCAGCCTAAGCTAGTCAAAAGGCGCGGTAAGAAACTCCATACATTTATTTTGAGAGCGTTTGTATTTGGGTTTCGATTAATTAGAATTATATCACTTTTTATAAAAAATCGGAACGAAATGGTTTCTGCACAAAATACCGGTTAATTTCGCTCACATATTGTGATTACTCCGACCATAGATCGTTTTCTCTGTTTTATCATTGTTTTATCTGTACAGATCTTTAGATTATCGTGACACTTTTTGTCAGTAAAAATTGAGTAAATAGCTATATATCACTGGCCACTGAAAATTTAGATTCCAAAGAGACTGTGTCGTACGAATACGAAGCATTTTCGAACTAAACTAAATAACCCGATACCCAACTTAGAAATTCTTTGCATATGTTGTTGTATTCATACTACTTTATTTTATTACACTTTTCACTTTAGTTTATTACAACTAAAGAATAAAATAAAAAATAGTAACGAATTAACAGCTGTATATATTATTTTTATTTTATTAAAGCTTTATAACACAATTATTTGCATGTATTAGATTTTCAAATAACCATGCAAATGTTTTAATAATTATAGACATTCAATAAACAGATATTCATCTTACCGTCCAGTAGTTCCAAAAGCTATAAACAGGTTGGCTCTTTTTTAATTTATTATCAGGATCAATTATATTCTGTATCTCTAAATTCATTGATATGTTGGAATGTTGTCCAGGAGGTATATAAACCATACTACGTAGTTTGGGTTTTCGGCTATTCTCTAATACCTTCAGTAATGAATGTTTTAGTTCTCTCACTTTTTTTTCATTGTTATTTACCAAGAATTGCTTCACGTCTCCAACAATTTTATTTGCAGTCACTTTCTCACCAAAATTAAGTTTAAAAGGTTGTATTAAATACCCATCTTCCGATATAACAGTGCCTTTCGGCTGTCTTTTGAGTATATCAAATTTTTCTGATGATTTCACTACATTATTTGGTAGTTTTTGTATATCATTGTCATCAAATAAAGTAACTTTCTTGTTTTTTCTGTCTATTTTTATTAGAGGTCTGTATAACGTCTTGAATAATTTGTCGTATTCTAAGGCACCGGATTTATACCCATGCGGCACGAGTCTTTTGATGAGCGCCGTTTTTAGTTTTTTTATTTTATTAACGTTATAATGTTCGTTTTCGGTGCCTACGTTTAGATATTCGATTTGAGACAAATCGCGTGCGTTTAAGTTCCTGTATTTCAATACATTATAAAAGTTCACTGCGGGACTTATTTTATTAAGTTTTCGTATTTTTGATGTTTTTAATCCGTGCGTGATGAATGTAAAATTTAAAGTTAATAATAATAGGAAAATCTCTTTGAAAATATTGGTGAAATTCATTGGTCTTTTTTTCAATTCGAAGTAAATAATACGATGATTTTATATTATCAATGTTAACTCTGGTGTTTCAAGCGTAAAATTGAAGTAACGTTTCATTTGCAAATCGAATTTACGTGTGGAATTTTTCTTTGATAATATTTATTGATATAAAGAATTAAGACTGCGGGTTATTTTGAAAGCAGCGTGTGGTGTCTCATAGGTAAATTTAATGAGTAAATAAGGAAGAAAATCCGTCCAAGTGGGAGTCCGACACGTGCAACGAACGGTTCCAAATCCTTTAAAAATTTACGTTTTTTTTTATGCAGTTAGTTGAAGTAGATATGATTGGTCGATTATTATTCGTAAACTTGTTAAGAGTTTACCTTTAAATTTCGTTATATATATGTACTATTATCGTGACCTTTGAATTTTAACTAACAACCGTTTAGTTGGTATAGGGGGACACATTTGAATAACAAAAATTTATTTTTTAAAGCTTAATAAGTCGCTAACGGTTTACTAAATCGACAACGGCTATACCACACTCCCAATTTTTTCGAAAGGTTGAAAAAGCCTCTCCTATGATGCTTTACACTATAAGGAAGACGAAAAAAATATCATCCTCACTTTTTATGTAGCGGAGGTATCCTAAAATATTTTTTTCATAAATTTATCGGTGTAATTAACGTGTATGTAATTAACGCTTGCCAGATTACAACTTTCTAGATTACAACCAAGAGTTATTGAGCTAAACCGCGGACGGATGGACAGACAGACAGACATGGCTAAACTGTAAGGGTTTCTTGTTTATTACGGACCCCTAAATATAGGTATAATATAGGTATATCTATCACATACATTGCTCATTCATCAATTGCTTCTCGGCGATAAGGCCACCGACTGTACTATTTGTTCATTATGTTATTGTTTCCTATTATTGGTGTTTATGTACAATAAAGAATTATTCATTCATTCATTCAATTTAATTTAATATGACAAATTCAAACTTAGTTTGATATCAGACGTAAAAAAATAGCCATCGAATCTTCGCCTGAATAAAAATTGAGTAAGTATATAGAATTTATAAGAATAAAACTAATTATTGGTTTTAATGAAAAGAAGAAGCGTCTATAAGAATAAAGGAAATAAGTATCTCCTTTTCGTTGATGATTCTCAGTACACATTCAATCGATTGTATTTACGTCCAGCTAATCTATTTCATCCTTCTCAACACAACAAAAGCTCTACACTACTCTGGATATTTTCTTGGGTAATATGTAGACTGCCAATCTCACATTGAACAGGTGTTCCTTGTTACTAAACGCTCTCTTAACCATTGTTGCTTTAATTATTTTTATTAGAAATCAATAATATCATTACTAAAGTCCTTATATATATATGTATATATAAACGTTATCGAATACATACGGAAAAGCTGTTAAATCATGATAGATAGTTTTTTTTGGATTAAATTTTTATTAAATTTGATAAAGATTATAATTTAAATAAACGTCTAAAGACGGTTTTTAATTTAAAAAAATTACATACACTTACGAAGTTTATATTTTTGTGAAAAAATTTAGCACATAGATATATGCTATCGCGGACTTTTTATTTAAAACTCTCCAACTTTACTATAGAAAGCATTCGTATATCTCTTACTAGTTTAGGCAAGTTTTACAAAATAGAGACTAAGAATTGCCTATTTACAAAATTTCATTAAAATACGTTCAGTACTTTTTGTGTAAAGAAGTAACAAACATCCAAACCTACAAACTTTCGTCTTTATAATATTAGTAGGATATAAATACCACAACAAAATT